GAGCAATCACGCAGGGGCCGTTTGTATCCAGCTCGTTTATCTTAAACGGTGGATAAGTCAAAATTATATAACACTCTTACATCTCTTTTGAATGAGTCAACTTGAATATTATGCACGGAATAATTATGTAGTTGTAAACGCGCGCAAAAACGTTCTGATTTGACACCTAAGACACCCTATACTTTCAGGGCGTTTCCGCGTTTTAATTTAGCGTGCGTCATTAGACATTCGTGCTGGAATTAAGAATGAATTTGTATATCAATTAATTAAGTGGTTTTGGTTTGCGCATCTTTTAATATTGATAAATTGATAAACTGATGACAATGTCTCTTCTGCCTGAAAGGCTTTCTTGCGTTTCATGTTAGAAAAGGCTAAACCTAGCTCATTGAAGCGAATTTGTCTAAATGTTTACTAATATATATTACTTCCATATAGCATATCGCTGTGACGCAGTTTTAAAACAATGCAACACATATGACAGCAGTATTTAATATGCTGAACCGTCTTAAACGTCGTCGCTTGCGAAGCTAAGAACGACCCGACTGTCTCTCAGCCTTCAAAATGCGAAATATAAAATTATGATATAAAAAAGTAATTGTCAATTCGAATATGTTATTACAGTGAATTAAATATTTCAGAAACAATTATTGTTACACATATATATATATCCGGCTTCATTAATAGGTACGAGCAATACAGTTCCTCGTAAAATCTTCTAGAACATGTATTTCAGTTCAATTGGCGCCTTGCTGTGAACACTACCAAGTCGATTCGCTTTGAGTGTCTGAGAAATATGTCTGAGAAGGCACTATATATAGCTACGAGTCCCGTAATTCACCAGGGGCCGGTTGTATGAAAGCCGGATAGTGTTTTTTTCAATCGTTTTAAAATCGGCCGTTGTTTGCTTAACTTTGATTAAATCTTAGTATTCCTAAATCAAAGATTCTTTTTAATAATTGTTGGTCCCAAAGATGAAATTTTATCGCTTTTCGAGCATTTTTAGAAAGGTTAAATTTGTCCTTTAGATGCCTACTGTGACGTAGTGCTGTGCAAAGACTCTTTAGCAGACTCTTTTACAAACAGTCATTTTTATAGTCTGATCTTCAAGAATATGATGAAAGGTTTTTGCTCATTTCTCTTTTGTCGTCGACCGTGCTTAATGCATCGACCCATAATCGGATGACATAGGTTTGTACATTCATCTGTAGTCTGCAGGTAGCTACTTATTTATAAGAAGGCCGTGACATTAATTTAAATCTTCTTAGCTGCTGTGTAAGAGCGGCATAGTTATAACCTATATAGGGCAGTAAAATAGTTGGTTTTGAATGCGAGAATGTTTTGAATGTAAGTCAAGTCTGCATGTTAACTTAAAATCAATTAATTTCTCCCCAAGATAGTTTGTATTGTATAGTTTGAAAAAACATTTGCTGTTACTTATCGACAATTTAATGTCGGCATTCCCTGCATGTCGACTGTCGAGCAGCATCACCCAGCACGCTGCGGATTTCTACGTGCAATAATTAATTTATTTCATCATCGACTGACTTATATCCTATACGGTGAGTCCATTCGGCATATCTGTATAAGATTATATGTTGATATAGCAGATTTCAATTCAAAAAGTATACCATTTTTCAACGCAAATCAGTCAAACCCGTTTGCCTAAACGCAAAATCGATTTACAATAATAACGCGACAAGCCAGACGTTATTTTGTCTTCGACATTTATATATAATATATATATATATATATATATATATATATATATATATATTATTATATATATATATATATATATATATAACGTTATTTTGTCTTCGACATTTTATATATATATATATATATATATATATATATATATATATATATATATATATATATAAATATATATATATATATCAGACCGAGGCTTTTTAGTATGGACTGAGCGACGAAGGAGCAAGATCGAACAAGCAAGGTCCATAATCTGTTTATTATATGGCTGAATCGTATAAGACACCCGGGATACTGGTCGAGTCCAAAACACGCATCACGTGAAACAAACACGCGTCGCGCATGCTGTTCTGATTGTTCTGATTCCGATAGCAGCATTTGTGTTTATGTTTCTCGCTGGTTTTGGCAGTGCGTTCGAAAATAAAACTAGACAAATATCGCGAGGTTATTAATGTTTCCACGCGCAAGAGTACGACTAAATATACTGTTTCGAGCCACCTTATATGGCCGTAGAACAAGAGGACTCAGTAGCGTAGCCAGCCTGTCGATTTGTCCCGCTATGCTAATATTTTGGTGTTCACTGACTATAAGAAAACAATAGATTTCTAAAGACATGAATAATTATAATAACTCGAAATTTACATCGCGGGACTAAATCGTCAGGCTGCATGGCTACGCCACTGAGAGGACTGGGTAACAGTGCGTTAGCGTTGCTTTCCGTTGTCACGTTTTTTGCACGTACGTAAAAGTTTAAAACCTTCCAAGTTGTTTTATAATTGATTTTATTGCAGAAAAAATGCACCATGCAAATCTTCAACAGAATCCAACTTTACGCATGTATTCAATCATAAATTTTATAAGTATCATTTAAGTGATTTTAAACTCTAACGCGCGTGTACGTACGACTGCAAAAAACACGACGGTGGAAAGCAGCTCTTAAACTCAGTGCATGGCGTACCTCAGCCGCTTTTTTTAATAAAAGGCGTGTGCGCCTTTCCCATTAATTTCAATGAGAGCTATTAACATTGTTTGCTAAACAAGCGCACTAAAAGTCTTCCGAAGCCCATAAATAGTTAAATTCCTTGTCGCGACGTCCATTAAGGCGTTTATCACTCGCAAAAAAACGCAGATGATCCAATAATCTCGCCATAAGCAATTTATAATGTTTGCCAAACGCTTTTTTCCCTGGGCAAACAAACAGATCAGGGGATCAAGCAGAACAATTAGATTAATTTGGCGTTCATGTAAATTTTCCATCTATTCTATAGCCGTCATGCAAGCAGGACTTATGTAAATCAATAGGTCGTCAGCTATATATTATGTTGAGTACACATCCGCCTTAAAAAAGTTTATGGACATTTACAAGAGCAGTTACATTACTGCCTATAATATTCTTTATCTATTAAACATGAATGAAATCCAAATACGATTTCATCCAACGAGTGTTTTGATCTCAGCCAAGAAATAAATATCGTGCACGTGAAACTTTCTTAAAAAATGACGGACAAGCGTTTGTCAAAATAAATTGCCGCAGAGTCAAAAAATAGTTATGATTTGTTTGAACTATGGACCCTAAATTCGTAACAACGCGAATTTACAGTGTTGATATCTACACTAAAACCCATAATTTTTATCTTCATCAGTTCAGAAAATATCTGAGCCAGATTTTTTATGGTTGTATATTAAGTGGAACTCACAGCTACGGGAACGCATATTTTACGATGAACTTTTTAATCTAAGAGTTTTATTTAGCGGACATCGCAAAACGCGCGCAAAAATGTTCTGATTTGACGCCTAAGACACCTTATACTTTCAGGGCGTTTCCGCGTTTTAATTTAGCGTGCGTCATTAGACATTGGCGCTGGAATTACGAATGAATTTGTATATCAATTAAGTGGTTTTGGTTTGCGCATCCCCTTTAATATTGATAAATTGATAAACTGATGACAATGTTAATGCAATATATATACTTGGGTTTTTTCCCATCTTCTGCAATCTGGGTCAAACGAAGGTTGAATTTTCTCTTGCGTTTCATGTTAGAAAAGACTAAACCTCATTACAGCGTTTTGTGTAAATTTTTACTATCATATTTTACTTCCATATAGCATATCGCTCCGGTGCAGTTTTAAAACAATGCAACACTTGTGACAGCAGTATTTAATATGCTGAACTGTCTTAAACGTCGTCGCTTGCGAAACTAAGAACGCTTTGATGAAAGCGCACTTGCATGCATTTCCTATATACACATTTTCTCCTATCATTTTATAACATGAACTATTTCCTTTGCGCTTAATTATATATAGCAAGAACATTTCATAAGTCATTATTTCATAGACAGTAATCATATTTATATTCTCTGCATTGTTTATCCTGGAATCTCTCATCCTGCAAAATGCGAAATATGAAATTATGATATAAAATTGTAGTTGTAGTAGATTCGCTTGAAGTGTCCACTAGGTTGTTATAGCTATCGCTGTAGGAAATGCATTGAAACTATGCGAGTTATGTCCAATGGAGTTGTTTACTTTCTGCACTTTAAAATTTTGAGGCACGACAATGGTGTGACGAGTGATCAAGCTGTGTACGCTGTACCCCCTAAAAACACACCAACCTGTGCGAACATGCATCGTATACGTAACAATTCACCGCGGCCGGTAATCAATAATTGCAATCACATACCCAACTAAATAGACAAAAGGAATGGAAAAGTATATTTTCAATTGTTCTATAATGCATGTACCATCGCGAAAAAAAATCGGTTTTTGTCCCAAGATCATAGCCACAGGATAGAATCGGGTTTGGCCTCTGGCGTCATAGTAACTCTTATATTTACAACTATATTTCGTCTACTATATAGGACTTAGTGAATAACGAAGAACGTTATTTCTTGGGAAGTAACTATCCCATGAAGTTTCATCTAAGAAGTACAGTTTGCGATATCAAAATAGACGAAAAATATTTCATCATATTTGCCCTAGGGCGTGTAAACTTACATGACTTCTCGATCATTTATCGAATTTTGTTTATGTAAGCGCGCTTCCATGCATTCCTTATACACATTTCCCCCCATGCATCATTTTATAACATGAGGGAAATATCCTTTGCGCTTTATTATAATTATAGGAAGAACATTTCATAAGTCAGTATTCTCCATATACAGTATAATCATATTTATATTCTCTGCATTGTTTATCCTGGAATCACAGCGTGTTGGAAAACCTTTGGTTACGATGTTATTAAGTTGATAAAATACGGAGTTGGCAAAATTCTATAGGTCTTCAACTTACCTTCAAACCACCGGGGCGCTCTGGTGTTCGTGTTGACGGAGAGTTACTTTGGGTTTTTTGCCCGCGAACTCTGGTTTTATTTCAAGGGCCTTTGAGCAATCGTATCTCTGTTGTGACTGATTTGCGTTCGGCTTCCGTAAATGTTTCCATCAACTACACGTAAATCTGGTCAAACATCTCGCCTTGCACCTGCGCGCGACTCGCAAAATTTCATCAAAATCGTTATACTGCGGTTTACGGTAAGGCAATTAATGACTGTTGTATCACGAATTTGTATTCAATCCCACGCCTTTGTTCTCCCAGATTCCTATTCATTTAAATTGCTAAGAGTTAAGCAAACACGAAATATCGTTTCCGACTAATAAGCAGCTGCTGTATAAACGAAGTACCGACTCGTGTAGTTTCAAGCGTGTCTCGTTCCTACAGATGTGCTTTTCTTCGTAAAAAAAACACGAGATGAAATGCGTGGACTTCGCGTTAATTTCTTTGTCGCTTATATTGGTGGTTCCTGTACGATTCTATTTGTTTTTCCTTTTTTAAAAGGTACAGAGATTGCAGATAAGTATCAAACCGATATCTCGATGTATTTAGGGTATAAATAAACAATTGGCTTGTCGAAAAGACTCATTAACAGGATTATTGATAATGGCTTTTTGAAGGAATTTAAATAAAACGAACTTAATTGGCTTCCCAGCAATGACAGTTTGTTCCGATATTCGTGCAGACACAAACCTTCGAAGCACGCTCGGAAATCTGATTGGGTTTATTGCTAGATATTCTAATTGATGCGCTATTTATAATATTTATATTTAAAATCGCTATCATATTAAAATGGCGCATCTCCATGTATGGAACTTCGAAACAGTTCTTTGCGACGATAATTTTAAACGTTTATAAATCATGCATTTTTAACCGATGAGAAATAGTCCGAATGTAAGTTCGCCCTTATTCTCTCATTTCTAAAGGTCATTTTTAACTGCACACGCGTAGAAATATCCATCACAACAGCGACCGAACACAAAACGCCCACAAAATTTTTATTATAGCGACATTTTAAACTTCTTTCGTGATAAGAACTTTTCCGAGAAATGAACTAGTGCGTATAGCCATAGGAGTTGGAATGAACCGTAATTTGTTTTGTGTGTTCAGTATCCACTTCAACGCTCTCGCGACGTGAGAGCTGGAATGATCTGGCCTATACTCGTAAAACCGGTTTTCCACTAGGCGGAATTTTTCGATCGATCAAAAAATCAGACGAAAAACTTCGTTCGGTTAAGAACCGGTTTCCACTACGCCGAAATTTTACATCAAACGAAATTCTTCGCCTCTTTCTTTTCTATTGTGAGAATTCGACCGCAGCGGTTACCCTTTGCCGCTCACAATTGAAAACAAATTCAAGCAAAAATTTTCGTTTGGTCGAAATGTTTAGCCTACAGCTATAATATGCAGTTGAAAACCGCCTGAAGTTCAAGGAGCTCTTAGAGCGACGACCATTAGTGCTGTATAATGAGACTCTCACGAGTCTCGTCATAGGGACGTCATTCACGAGATGACTCATCATTGCAGTGCCAGTGTAGAATTCCGTGAACTTTCTGTTCACGCAGTAATGAGCTCGTACATTTTCTGGATTGAGAAAGCGTTTGTAGTGGCAGGAATATTATTATTCCATATACAATATTATCACATCCGTAAATTTTCGATGATGAATTAATAAAAATACTATTGCTACTAATATATGTATCCAAAACGTTTGCAACAAATTAGTACGCCAGTGTAGATACAAACCTTTTTTTAAATCAGCAATTTTCTTGTCGATTCAAGGACAAAGCAATTGGATTTTTTTAGCGATTATTCCCCGAGATTCGCTTGTATTCTGTTGTCGCCGTTGCATTTATCAATCAAATTTCAGTGTAAATGCGTATCATATGAAGCCATGAAAAACTCACTTTGTACAGCTGTAGCAACTCTACACCGGTATATTGTCAGACTGTCATTGAATTGTTGGAAACATTAATCACGTTTTCAATTTTCTTTGTCCAAGATTTTTGATATAATTATTTTATTAATAATCATGTTTGATTTGGAGAATTTCAGTTGCCCAACCTCTAGAGATATATAATACCTTTTAACGTGCATTCGTCAATGCGGTTGCTATTAGCATTGCCTAATACATTACAATAGTCATAGATGATATTTGATTTCATTTTAGATTACGTGAATATCGTTCTATGAAAGTAGTACGCATAACTCGGCGACACGCAATTGCAGACTTGCAGTAGATGAACGAGACCCAAATATGATATTAATATTATTGTAATTCCCAGAGACCGATTGTACGCAGTCCGTTTCGCTTAACTCTACTGTTAACAGGGTCGAAAGAAAAGTATGTGCATATTATCATTTACAACGGACGAAAAGTTTTTCGACACGAATACAATAATAGTGTTTTATACAACTACACATGAAACATTTGAGAATTAAGTTCAATTGTTTACAACATATAAGAGTGTTAAAATTACCAGTGCATTCGCAATAAGGTACAATTGTAATATAACATTTTATAACAGCTTTAAGGCTTCGTCTTCGATCAAGGTAATTCAATGAGGATGCAAGTAATAGAATTGTAGGACTAATTACCCCTGTTGACAGTATTATGTTACAATAAACGATTTCGTCGCCTTACGTCAAACACTGTTTACACAAAAACTATGAACGGAGACTACTGCTAGCGTGTCCGCTTTGCAAAACTCGAGCGCGGTGTCTTTTGACAATATAACCAGCCGTTTGCTGAATGAAACTGCATCAAAGCTCTTTTTAGAATGAAACAACTTTACTACTTCGAAACTCGGAAAGCCTTCGTCAGCTATATTCTAAATTCATGCGTCAAATTATTCCTAATTAATTGATCTTTGTTTGCACAGCATATCGGTCGTCAGGAACACGCCGCGAAAACCACATACGAGATTAAGGAAACCATAATACTGCCGTTTCACAAATGTTTTGATTATCAAGAAAACTCTGATCTTAAAAAAGCCCGTCGAACTGCACGTTTGAACCAGCATATACATGCACTAAACGAAGGTTGCAAATGAATGTGGAATGCTGTTCTGGTGAGAAACTATATACGTTGGTGTTGTTGTTGCTGTTGACATACTTTATGTTAATTCAATCATGTCGATATATATTTTTTAAAAAAACTACGGTGGAAAACATACTTATTTCACGGTGGAACTGATTAACAATTGATACACTTGGCGGGGATCGTGAATTGAATGCCGTTTGAATATTTAATTGAGATATAGGCTTGCTGAACGTATCAATTACACAAACTGACAAACCAAGATGGAAGAGAAACAAGAACGGAGTTGAAATTATAGAATACGAATTTTTCGCGCGCTTTTCAGAAGACAGGCGACAGTGCTGGGGCCTGGTAACCAGCTTACAGGTTAGTCTTTTAGACTGAATACGAGAGTCAATTACACCACGCATCAACTACTAAACGATAATAGCTACAAAAAACTCCTTGGTCTATACTCCTTGGTCTACTTTTCATGAGATATGATTATGTGATTGTGTGAACGTACTTTGTTAAATAAATAACTACTAGGTTATTTATTTATTGCATAAAATGGTTTATGGTTGAAAATACGCTTAGCATCTCAATGCGAAATCTCGTACCCAAAGCCCGTAAGCGGTCAATTGAGTGTCTGATCTAACAAGGCATTAAGTATCTTGGTTTAACGCAGAGGTCTGTCGAAAATTGTAAAGAGATTTCACAGACAAATAATGGTCGACTCGCGCTTTAGACTGAGTTTTTGATCGAAGTAATAAGAAGAAAATAAATCACCACAGCTAAATGCAAAGTTTGGCTGTGAAATTTGGTAAAATACGGAAAATATAGCCATGCGAAGTTGGCAAATTTTGTATACTTTTCTATTACGTGTGGAAATTTGTAACTAAATTAGTTACAAACTTCCGGTCGTAATACAAAAGTATACAAAAATCGACAACTTCGCATGGCTATATTTTTCGTAATTAACAACAATTCGCAGCCAAACTTGGCAATTTTACTAATTTTAGTAAGCTCTTTCAGAAAATGTCCATTTTTGCTGAAATAAGAAATTAGTCTAAAGCGCAAGTCATTCCACATGACAAGCAGTCCATATTTACCACATCTGGTATCGTCGATTGTGAAGATAACTCAGATACATTTACGATTCTAAAAAATAATATTCTGCCCGTGAAACCATTCTGCATTGAGCAACAAAAGTATTGCACTTTTTATAAAGGAAATATAAGTTTAAAAATATAATGCTTTTCATTTCGTCTTTTTTCCAAATTAATTGACACTCGGTTTTATCCAACAATCAGTAAACATCATCAAAGTTAAATATAGCCATGCAAATTCCTAACCCGAACTTGATTTTAACCTTGCGAAATTTACGGTCACGTACGCCACCTCTATAATGACCTCTGATGCATTTTAATATCTTACAGACCTCTCGCTAGCAAGAGGAGGTATTGTAGGTCTAAAGTATAAATTCTTAGTACGTTCTTAAAAAGAAGAATGGATCTGTGAATTTGAAATTATGCGTACGTGATTTAAAATCATTATTAATTGAGTAACTAAAGTGAGATTAAATTGCAGAATTTAGGTTTCTTTATCAATCAATTGTGAATTCGTTGAGGTATTTAATTGTATAATATGAAAATTTTAAAATAAAGTTTGCCGCATGATTTAAAAGCTTTCGTGCCTGCTCAATTATGATCTGCCCTGATACGGAAGATTGCGTTGATATTATTGCAAAATCAAATGGATATTTTCGCCATGCACCACACCCTGCGGTTTCTCGCGTGCATGGAACCCCCGTTATCATGCACATACAGCTGTGAATAACACATATATATCTATATATACAACCCATGTTATGACTTACAACCCGTGAATATCACACCCAACACGGTAGTTATAGTTATAGCTATACAAAATATCTAATTTTTTTACCTTTATGAATTGAGCATTCATCATTTTACTCAGAGCATCAATTCTCAGTAAACCGTTGCACTGACTCTTCGTAACACGATAATAAATAACCTTTTATGGCGCCTCTCGACCAATTTTTAACAACTGAAAACCACTGTTGGCTTCTAAAAATTACTGTTGTCTTCTTAAAATCACTGCTGTCTGCTGCAAGCCTGCTAACACTAGCGATTTTTTTCGCGTGAAGCGTAGTTATGCTATTTGTCTGTGGACAATTCGTTCCGGTTGGCTGCCGTTTTTTATCCGAACACAAAAAGCCTTTTGCGCGAAAAATGTCGAATGTATTCAAATAATCTCGGGTATACATAATAAAGTCTAACGATCGAGGTCATTATCTTATCAACCTATTGTCACATTTTCTTTAGGTGCTACCGACTGGATAGGACATATGATATTATGAACCCTGGTTACCAGAGGTTTACCAAAGCATGAGATGATTTTGAGGTATTGAAATAAGCCTTTATGAAACAAACGAAGTGCATGCTATTGTCAGTATGACTACACAACTTCCAGGATCATGTTATTCGCTCATTTCAATACCCCAAAGTCATCTCAGCTTTGTTTAATCCCGGTTAAGCGGAATCATGTAAACAAACAAAAACATTAAGCAAAAATATTGTATAATGAGTTGTTAATACTGAGTAAATGGTTAATTATCACTGATCATATATGTATACTGCGATTTTGTTTCGTTTGACATATTCGTCTACGTAGTTCGTCTAGATAGTTTGTCGTGTATTTATACTTTAGAAAGATGATCTGTCAGATGGATCATTCGTCCGTGTTTAATATATAAATCGGACCAGTCCATTGTCGCCTTTACTGGCCAGCGGAATCAGCTTTGAAGCCGTCACCCGCGCTGTATTTAAGCTTATGTCGAAATGTCGAGAATTAATTTGAGAAAATTAATTTGACCCTTTGAACTCTATATTAACACTGGAATAACAACTAGAATATGGCCAACCTCGTTCCCGGGTAAAAGGCCCATCCTGGGATCGGCCAGCCGCTTCTGACTTCTGATTGGTTAAATGATTTATCCTAATTTATGTGTAATTAGCGGAATATTTTTTAGTTATTCCGAATCGAGCAAATAAATAGGGGAGCGTTCAAAGGGTGCGGTAAATGGTAGAATTTCGGCTCAGTTGTTCAAGACCCAAAAATTTTATGCCATTTATAATTGGATTTCAACGACGTCAAAACAGTGGCGTAGCCAGCATCGATAATTGGGGGGGGGGCATATTCATATATTCATGTTAACAGACTGTAAAGACAATTGATTTGAAAAGAAATTAATCCTGCGTATGATGGATATATGAATATGGGCCCCCAATTATAGTTCTGGCTACGCCACTGTGTCAAAATAGTACGATTTCATGGACAAATTGATTTGTTATTGGATACCGTGCAAAAGCAACAAAAAAAAGCTGGAACATACGGTGAATTATCTTCGCCAGTTTCACGATTAATTTCTGTCTTGACTTAGCAGTTATCATTCCAGTATTTATTGAGTTCTCGGTTGACCAAATAAATAAACATAACATAGATTAACTTTGTATAAACTTACATTTTCCAAGCTTTTCTTTCTTGGTGGTTTTGGCAAAGGCATCGTGCTATACGATATGACTGTCAACGTAAGATCTTAACAAAGCCCTCAGCTTCTGTATGCCTCTAAAAATCCTGAGATATCTTCAGCAGCGTTTCTTTAGCAAAAACACACGCGGTTAAACGAGACGATGTCTGAAAAAAATGTTCAATAATTCATCGCGATTTCATAACGAACGCTAACTTTTTATGAGCACTGCTTTGGTAATTAGAATTCAGACTGTTTTCTCAGCAAGTATATTTTATATTAAATCCGTCTCGTGGCTTACAAAACCTTGGGGGAGTGTTATCTGTCTTTGACTTTGCAAAACACATTTGCATCCAAAAACCGCACAAGCCGATCATTGTGAGTATTTTTTCGAGGATAAAGCACGGGACATGTATAACAACATAGCTTCGCATCCAAGTTTACGGACGGAAAACTTTGCAACGGTACATTTTCTCCAAGAAAACATTTGCATTGTCCAGCGTTAAACTGCAAGAATTTTAAACTCATTATCGGCAGTAAATTTGCGGCTTGTTTAACACTGTTCATTAAATTGTCGGCAGCTTCTTTCGCAGCAAACTGACTAAAAACAATTATATTCCTTGTATGACACAGAGTTACCTTTCAAATGCAATACTTACACGGTCGTTTTCAACAAAAACCACTTTTGTAATATTTACACAGAACTGCTCCGCGCCGTCCAGCCTGTACTTTGCTCGAAACAGCTCGCTGCTCGCAATAAAGAAAAAGGGTAATTGCTTTTTAATCCGATATAGAATCGCAGTAGATTAAACGGAGATTAGACAGCCTGATACAATGGATCCTTTTATTGATCAATGGTTTTGCTCGACCGACTGTCTGGCTGTGTATATGCTGATAGAGATGTCGCATGCTCTTTTTGATAGGAGATAATATGTTCCACTTGCCGTAATACATGTTAATTGAAGCCATGGAACACGTTAGTACTCCGGGCAAGGTTGTTCGAAAGGCGTTTAGCTTATAAGCCTAAGTTTAAAAGCACTCTCGTACATCTTGTGAACGACTGAGCCTACATCTTTTGCATTAAATATGTACTTCCTTTGAAAATTAAACTCGAAATATTTCAGCTCAGTTGCGTTCAATAAATAGATTATTCTGATTGCCATTTTGAACTTATCCACCGTTTAAGCTAAACGTCTTTCCAACCACAGGACCCTGGTTTAAACACCGTTTAAGAAGGAGAGAATGTAAGATATTGAATTCAACAGGAGATCAAAGTCTTTAAGCGATCAAATATTTCGTTTCCTTAAAGTTAGATCTGTTGTGATTAACGGAACACTTAACTTTGTCCTTCCTCCCTCTCACCCACATCTCTGCCCTCTAGAACTTCCCCCCCCCCCACACCTCACAAGCTAGTTCTTCACTCGCCCTATCCTCTCATTGTAAGGTAATGTTATTGTTACACGAAACAACTTTCAACATCAACTTGCAACGCAAAAATAAGCAAAAATCTAAACAACAATGTTGTGTGGAATAAAAACAGCTCATAAACTTTCAACTTGTTTCCAAAACAATTTCTGTGTTACAAACTAGCTCATATATATCACATTTGACGCATAAACCTTTTTCAAAACATTGTTGCGTTGCGAGTTGATGTTGAAAGTTGTTTCGTTTACAATTGCCCGTATAAGGACAAAAAGAATCGGAGATATTGAGTATCTTTTAAAACACTATTTTGTCGTATTTAGTCTTTTAGAGGAGTTCCTCCCATTGCTACAGCCGCTGAAAATGATCTTCTTTTAGTCAAATCTATTCGTCACTTAACCGATGAAAGCCTATGTTAAACCCAGTGAACTCTAACCTAACAACTGGAGTGGTTACTGTAGATAAAACTGCTACGTATTCCTAAACCCAAATTAGATTATATAAAGTTTCTATAGCCGAAATACTTGACCCCAAATGTTGTGGTGTTTTAAGATACCCTCCATTTGAAGGTAAAACAAATCCTATTTATTTGCCCGGCAAATTAATGCCAAATGCTTTCGAGTTTTTGTAGTTTTCAAATCAGTTTCTTTTTTACTGTCTCGAAATTTCAACACAAAATTAAAGTTTTTCAAAAGCTTAGTCGCTCGTACACGAAAAGGTAGTTTTTGGTGACAGAATTTTGCCCAACGCATACTTTGCAAAATATAGGTATTCAGTCTTATATATACAACTGACCATGCATAGATTGCTGCATGCCCTCACGGAACCAATGTACAGTTCTCGGATCTCGCTGTATGTATAACTGTCCTGCGATCTGATTGGCTTCGCTAAGCCTGTTTTCCACTTCAATCGTATCTGTAGCGTAACGTAGCGTATTTCTTTGTTTCCGAAGTGTTCGACCAGAACTAATGACTTCAAAACAAAAGCTGAATTCATATTAGAGACGGAAAACTCATCGAAGGCGGGAAACTCGGTTAATAAGAATCCGGTCACAGACGGGTTTCTCGTCCGAATTTACCCGTCTAACTTTCCCGTCTAAACAGACGGGTAAGTTGAACGGGAACCCCGTCTGGATGAGAAACTCGTCTTAAATTCGCATTTAGACGGATAAATGAGACGAGTTTCTGAAATATCAACACGGTCAAGGACGGAACAAAGCTATAAACAAAATGATTATCGTAATATTAATTACGATACACTTTTTAGCATTACCCGACCCATCACACGTATGAATTTATCCATTCCTATTCGTATTTAGACGGGGTTTTACCATCAAATTTCCCGTTGATGAGTTTCCCCTCTCTAATATGAATTCAGCTATTATATTATACGTTTCGCTACGATACTCTTGAAGTGGAAACGACCTTAATTATACTCCCGGTATATTGGCCATGTAAAGTCATGTTCGGAGAACAGTGAAAACAGCCAGTAATACAGTGAGAAGTATGAACGACTCCATCTCGAGGTATAATTGTTAAATATACCCAATTAATAGGAGGTCTAGTTTGGGTAGTTTGTACTACCTGCACTTGATCTTTAGAAAACCGGGTTTGCATTGCAGTAGCGCCGTAGCGCGGTAGTTTTTGCTTTTATAACTGCACTCATCTGCTCTGGACCGAAATGCTGAAACACTAAAGAATAATTATTTTCGAGCAAAATATATCAGTAATGGAAAACCTGCTTTAATAGGGAAATGTCTAGCGCACAAAAATGCAACAAAATATTTAGGAGAGAAGCTAGGCCGTCTTAAAACCGTACCAAATGTCATATTTCTTCGTAGTGGAATGAAAATTTTATTTCACGCTTATACTTACAGCCGATATATGACACTTCCGTTCATGCATAATTGTAACCGCATAACTACATGTGTGTGCATGCAAATATATTCATCGTGAGTCGAGTGCTTTTCGTGTATGCAACAAGACAAGCTTTGAGTGTCGACACTCGCCATCGAAGTTCGATCGGACTGACAAGACCAAAAGATGGGGAAATTCTCGAAAATTGGCGACGCTGTAGCGTCCGCAGTCTTTGTATACAATACAAGCAAGCTTGTAAACATACGAAGCAGTCTCGTCGGTGTTATGAATCGATTCATACAGCTGTTGATACTTGGCTATATTATCGGGTATGTCTAATGTCTTGCATTCGCTAGCATTAAGTAAACATATATTGAGGCTTTTGTATCAAAATTTGCCCTCCCAAGGGGACGTGTATATCCTGGGAATAAATTGACGATGCCTCTGCCTGTGCATGACTTGAATTTGCCGTTCAAATGCTGTCGGCCGGAAACCGGATTCGCAGAATCATCGCCCATTTCATCATAGCATAATGTGACTTTTTAATAATACAAATTTTCAGCCACAAGCAAATTAATAACGACACGTTTTTACTTGTTGAGATTGTGTGTAGTTATGTCTTAGTTTGTAATACCGTAGCCTGTGTTAGCACTAAGGAAGACCCTGGCCCTGGGAACTGCTTTCTAGTTGAGGTCTATTAGGTTTTCTAGAATTTTACGTTTCCATCTCAAACGTATATTGAGGGCTATTACATGAGCCCGCTTAGCCGATATTTCACGATGCGTGAGATGACGTTGAAGTATTGAAATAAGTGTTTATGACACCAAGCAAGCAGATGTTATTGCTAGGATGACTACAGGATTAGCACGATCGTGTTATATGCTCTTTTCAACACTTCAATGTTATCTCACGCTTCGTGAAATCTTGGCTAAGCGCAGGATCACGGGATTAACAGCCCGTAAACCGGATTTGTAGGGTCACGACATCAAAATTAGCCGAAGATCCAAGCCAGGCAAGCTCCGAAGTATGAGGCCCGTTTTAGAGTCTACAGAAGCTAGCCTATTGCACATGCATGTATCTGCCTAAAATAGACAAAACACTTCTCGACGTGTCGACCTGAGGGCCTTCGTTAGCTTACTAACTCTCCTGACGAAGGTCCTCAGGTCGAAACGTCGAGAAGTGTTTTGTCTATTTTAGGCAGTTGTTATACCACAGTTGATGCTAAGTTGTTTGAAGACGCTGCCACGCTGCTCCCTGGTTATATTGGAACTTATCTACATCTAATATCCAGTTGTATCGTTACAGATACGCGATAATATATTCGAAAGGCTACCAGAAGTTTGACGATGGTCTCAGCTCGGTTACGACAAAAGTGAAGGGAATTGCTCAGACAAATCTTTCTATAGATTACCCTGTCACGGTCCAAGGGAAAACAGTATATCGCACTTTAGATCAAGGACCGAGGACCTGGGATTCAGCTGATTACATCCACCCGGCCGAGGTAGGTTTGCGCAGCTGCGATCCGTTTCTCTCTGAATACTTCCAGTCCTCCTGATCTGGATCGATTATTATATACACGAACATTACAGGAATACGATGCGGTCTTTATAATGACAAACATGATTCTAACACCTCTACAAGTGCAAGGAAAATGTCCCGAATTTGGCGTCATCGCAGCAAGGTGTAAAAATGACTCTGAATGCGATGTTGGCAAGATTCGAAAAAATGGCCATGGTATGTAATAATACAGACTATTGATTTCCTCTATTCTTTCCTCACCATATAAGGTTATCCCTCAAATAAAGAGATACTTCTTTATGATAAACCTAATAATGGAGGAACTGTTTTAGACAGGAAAGTTAGACGGGAAAGTTTGGACGAGAAACCCCTTTGTGACCGGAATTCACATCAGACGAGTTTTCCGTCTTCGATGAGTTTCCCGTCTCTAATATGAATTCGGCTAATATGGACACTTTCTAAAACAATTTTGACTCTTTAATACAAACACCACTCTAATACCAAGACTTCTCTAATAAGAACACCTCTCTAATACGAATACCTCTCTAGCACAGACACTTCCCTATTATACGAACACTTTTCTAACACAGACCCCTCTGTCAAATAGTTCATATTACGTACTTTTTTAAAAGGTGTAATGACGGGAAAATGTGTGAAGCCAGACCGCCCTGCATCAGCTAACTACTCAGTGTGTGAAATACAAGCGTGGTGTCCAGTTGAGAATAATGAGCTGCCAATGCAAGGAACAAATTTTGGTAAACGCCTTACGACGTAAGTTCAATTCGTTAATTTCGACGTAAGTTCATTCGACGTGTTATGTATGATGTTCGAATATCTTGTTCCAATATCTGATGTTCATGCACATAAAAGTTGAGTGTTTAAAGCCAGCGATGCTGGCGGTTGGGCGAGGTAAATAGACTGGCAACCTCGTTCCTAGGGGAAGAGGAAATATCCGGGCTAGTTTGCCTGTACATCAGGGTATACCACTGACCCGTTTACATCCTGCTGAGTTACACGTGCTGCACCCTGTGAATGGTATTGTTAAGAATAGTTCGTGAACCATAAATACTGTTGCAGTTTGTTGACAAAAAAGTTGTAACAACATTGACGGTCTAGCAAGGTTCAACAACCATCGTCAACAGTTCACTGTTCATGGGGTGCACTGTGTAACAACACAACACGCAGCGTGGGCCGTGGAGCATAGGTAAAAGACCCTTGGTACGAGGTTGAACACAACATTGTTCACTCCTGATTCAACAACCTGATTAATTTCTCCCCGTGTACCTATAAAACTGGTTAACTGACATAACAGAATATCTCTCTTTTGTTGAAATCACTGAACTAGTTAAATAGATGGATCTTTCAATGATTTACATCGCTTTTTTCTCTTTTGCCACTCTAACAATTATTTTGTGTTCGTTATTTCTCTCAGTAAATCCGTTATTTTTGACGAAGCCGTGGACTTCACAATCTTCATCAAGAACACAGTTCGTTTCCCGAAGTTTGGCGAATCAGTGTAAGAACTACTTGTTCTGTTGTTCAGGATAGAACGAACATCACCTTGTCATCTCTCAACTGTCTCTTGTTGAAGCTTTTAAAGTTTTCGTGTTAAAATACACGAGCTATGTAAGCAAAAATGTTTTCCAAATTATTATCTTTTGCAGGCGAAATATCAATGAGGAACACGGTGACCCAGATTACCTGAAAGGTTGTCTGTACAGCCGTGACGAACACCCGCTCTGTCCAATATTTTCACTAAGAACAATTTTTGCTGAAATTCCTGGCACGACTTTCAATGATACGGCTCTCAAGGTAATTGGACGAGAGGAGTTGGAAACGAGTGTGCACAGCAAGAAGAAATTTCATTGTAGACCAATCAGCAAATTTGTTTACATTTTGTGTAATCCAATCAGACTACAGAAATATGATGGAAATATACATTTCTTACCATTTTACATGAAGTTTTAAAAATGTAGGCATTCTGATTGGCTTAGCTAAAAATGTAAACAGATATGCTGATTAGTTCAAAACGAAATTCCTTGTTAGTGTATACTGTTTGTACGTAGTCCCTGAGGGTCCTGTAATCACGTGTTTTAGCTATATTCTACTCCCTAGGGTGGTGTTATCGCGATAAAAATATCTTGGGATTGTAATTTGGATTTTGACAAGAGTGAGTGTGTTCCAAAGTATTCTTTTGTGAGGTAGGAGAAGACGTAGAAAAAATTCACATTTTACACGTGATGAATTACTCCGAATTCAGATAGTCGTCACGAGGATGCTTTTTGTGAAATATTTTCGTATTTTTTTCAGAATAGACGACCCAACGTCAAAGAAATCTCCAGGATACAACATAAGGTAGGAACCGGCTGTTAAAAGCGCTAAGTTTTAACGATTGCAAGATAAGCTTTAATTGTTTCCTTTCTAGAATTGCACAATATGACATAAGCGACATAACTCATGAACGAAGAACTCTGATCAAAGCGTACGGAATACGGTTTGTTATCCTGGTTGATGCTCAGGTAAATTAAGTTGCGGTTTTCTGTATGGTATGGGTTAGTGTGGTGTGGTTTACTGTAGTATGGTATGGTGTGGTGTGGTGTGGTGTGGTGTGGTATGGTATGGTATGGTATGGTATGGTATGGTATGGTATGGTATGGTATGGTATGGTATGGTATGGTATGGTATGGTATGGTATGGTATGGTATGGTGTGGTATTGTATGGTATGGTATGGTATGGTGTGGTATTGTATGGTTTGGATGGTATGGTATGGTATGGTATGGTGTGGTGTGGTGTGGTGTGGTGTGGTGTGGTGTGGTGTGGTGTGGTGTGGTGTGGTATGGTGTGGTGTGGTGTGGTGTGGTGTGGTGTGTGGTGTGGTGTGGTGTGGTGTGGTGTGGTGTGGTGTGGTGTGGTGTGTGGTGTGGTGTGTGGTGTGTGGTGTGGCGTGGTGTGGTGTCAGTTAATATTCTTTATAGTTAATATCCTAGTTAATATCCTTTTTTTGCCAAAGGCTGGAAAATTTGACATCGTGCCTCTGCTACGAAATTTTGGTGCTGGTTTAGGATTGCTTGCATTGGTAGGTTCATAGACAATCAATTGTTTTTTCCTTTTTAACCTTCTACAATGCTAGTCTAGCTGTTGCTAGTAATACCAATATTAGCCTAACTAGCTTGCTAGTTACTTGATTCAGTGTCTTATTTAGTGTATCACTTCAATTATCATCTTATTATTTGAAGGCAACCGTGCTCTGTGATATTTGCGTTCTTTATTTCCTGAAGAGGAGACAGCTCTACCGAGACAATAAATATCTCTACGTTGATCCGGAGAAGGGAGAAAATCAGCAAACTGAGGTAAATAACCAGCTGGGGACTGAATATTTTTCATCACACTCCGATAGACGCATAGTATTTCATTTCCAGTAATGTTGTCTGAATGAAGTGTTTTGCGTCATGAAAAATGCAGTTGAATAACATGCAGCTCAGAACGAAAAGAATATTTATACATGAGTATCCAAATATTTAACCATTAAAATCACGCAAATTTTCCACCCTGTATCAACTCTATATGCCGTTGATGAAAAAGTAAATTTGTTGTTGTCGATCAGGGAGAGATTAAAATAACTTTACTCTATGGGGGGGGGGGTGATGAATTTGTTCATTGTTAATTAATTAAGTGCTTACAAATTTTAGAACAAGTTTCAAGACTCGAATGACAATACAAATTATGCCATGTTTTCCAACGAATGATAGAGGTAACATGAATGCGGAATAATGGGTAGAGCTGGGACTGGGAACTAGTAATAAACAAAGTGATAAGTGGTCTAGTTTTTAAATTTTAACTGTTGAAAAATAATCCACAATTAACCCAGACCATTTTAACTGCTAACGATTTTCGATCTCTTGTCCAGTCCTAATATTATCTGGCTATAAGACGTAGTAATTTTCTCCGTCTTGAAGCCAGATTTTGATTGGCTGAAGATGAAACTGACGTAAGCAAGTCTAATTGAGTAGAAATCTCAAGACTTTAACTAAAAAAAGAAATATTCAAATATTTTAATAGCTATGATTTGCCGTTTTTAACTCTAGGCAAATATCCATTTATCATCAGTTATCATTCCAGTTGAACTTGAGAGATCACTGCCTATAGGTAGGTAGGGAAAGTGAGCCGTGTCTCACTGCAGCCAGCCTGGGGTGAGCCTGCAGTATACTCGGAATGCAATAAAAATGCGATTTCGATAATCTGTTTAAATCATATGCGAATCTTTTTCATATAATGAACTTATTTAAACTTTCAACAACGGAAACATTGACAATAATCGATTTATAAAATGATATTATAAAATTTCAACAGAACAATGCTTGTTAGTCATCTTACAATATAAGAGAGTATCAGAACAATGCATATGAAACATTTCATCAATACAATCCTTTCTATAATAAGTTTTTAAATTACATTGAACGCTTTAAATTACCAATACTACATGCTGTTTCATACAAATATTGTATTTAGTAAATACTTAATTCTTATAAATATGAAATGGGTTGGAACCTCTGGATTTGTCGGTTAAAAAACGAGAACTGTAGTCAGTATTTTTTATGTTATAATTCGCTATAATAGAAAACATGGCAGCATGTCCGTCTTGGATAACCAGATGACTACTTTTTCACGAACTTTCGTATCGGTAAGATACATTTTTCTGTTTAAAAATACCAAATTTTGACATCGACCTGTCACTATCTTTTTGCAAACAGTAAAGTTTTGTTCACACGATCCAATTTTGTTGAATCCAATTGACTTCTGACGTATGAAATATAGTCAGTTATTGATAAAGCATGCAGTAGTGCATTGGCTTCAGTGGATTTGCTGCTGATATACATTACAAGACAACAAACTATAAAACATCCATCAGAAGTGAATTGGATCCAACAAAATTGGATCGTGTGAACAGACCTTAATTTAGATTATAGCCGGTGAGGGTAATTTATCCCGGGATATAGGTTATAACTGCCGTGGGGATAAAAATTCCCCACGCCTAAGCTATACTTTTACAGCCAGCCAGAAAAATGTCACCCACAGATTAAAACAAAGTCGTTTCGTCTTTGAAGATTACGAGCGCTGTACGATATAAATATTGTTCGAAGAGCCGACTGCGATCCTGGGGTTCGGTCCAGAGCGGTCGTTATCGACAGTGTAGACCGCGCGAGATAGATCCACCATGCGACCAATCGTCTAGGGGTGGGAAAAAGCGATTAGTGTCAACACAGCCTGGGGCCGGATATATGGAAACTGGATAGCGCTGCCCTATACCATACCGGGTGGTGATTTTTCAACCGGGAGTTCACTGATTTTAGCTTACCACGGTGCTGGTTGCACTTTGTTCTAACATTCTTAACATGTTCTGGTCGCTTCCTCCAGCGATGATCTGACCATCGGGCAACCACTGGGTGCAATATGTCTGTGAAATAGATGGTAGAGAAATGTATCCTTTTATCTAGTACATTACTCACTGATCCAAATAGAAAATCAATCCACGATCATCGCATCAAAACCACCGTGATCCCCTATTACCATACTCATTTTCACCATATAATCAAATTGACACCGTCGTAAACCTATCATGCATACGTCACCAAAACCTACCATAGACTTATTGAAATCATCCGGGACATCTCGTATCAGTTCACCGCTGTTGAAGTCCCAGATCTGAACGCTGTTGTCCTTGCGCCACGAGCCAGTTAAGATGTTACCATTGCTTGGCAGAATATCCAGAGCGTCTCCACAGATATGAGGACCGAAAATCCTCCTAAGTATGAAATAACAACAGACTTAGGCGAGTTTTTGAATGTGCTTGCATGCATGACTTTTAAACGTACAGAAAAGCAAATTTCTTTTCGGCGGGGCGGTCACAGCAATTACGGTTATTTGTAGTTCTTCGACCAGTTGTATCAAGCTCGTTTAGCCTAAGCGGTGGATAAGTCAAATTTAAATAACATTCTTACGTGAGTTACGTCTCTCTTGAATGAGTCAACTTGAATATTATGCATTGAATATGTAGTTGTAAACAGTATCTTTGTATTAAGGTCAAAAACATTTAGTTCGCTTGTTGAATAAAACGGCAGACTTGCTTTCCATTTTGGACTTATCCACCGCTAAACGGGTTTGATACAACCGGCCCCTGATAAACATTGTATACATACCTTACGGAGTGTTTTGAGTCGGCCCGACTGTCCCACCACTACACAGTATTTAAGTGTGAAAAGAAAACTAACATTACAAATAATTCAGATGAAAGTCTCAACGAAAGAAAGGGATGTCTCGCCAGTCTCGGCCTATTTTGTCAGCATAAAGCGTTTCAAAACGATTGCCATGCACGAGCCTGTATTCATCTATTATGAATCATTGATTCACAGAACCATGCTTATACCTAGGGCGAATTTTTGTCGAGGCTTGAGATGGCCACAAAAAAAATGATGGCCTTTCGTTCGATGCTACGATTTTCTTCCACGAGGGTTGTTGAGATTTGAGAAGTCATTTTGATGGCAGTCAAAGCTATGGGCCTCTTTTCCCGAGTCTGGTTTATAAGTAGTAAAAAGATTCGTTGAACACATGCACTCTCAAAAGAAACTACGCAAGACCTGTAGTGTGTCGTCCCAGCCACCGGATAGAAAGACGTGATCATCATTTGGGAAATACATAACTGAGAATATTCTCATCATATGACCATCCATCACGAGAAATGATGTGCTAAAATTTATATCAAGGTACTGACTTAGTAACTATTACTATCATTATTTATCATTCTCCAGATTTTCACCTATCATCATAAACCACTATTACCACGATCCTTATGATGACCCACAATCACCCACCATTATTAGCATCATTATTCACCATCATCCACAACCATTGATCATCATTATCCACCATCATCATCCAACATCACCCATAAACATCTACCATCCATCATTATCACCATTCATCAACCATCATCAACTATCAACCATCATCATGTACAATTTATCAACCATCATCATCTACCGTTCCTTATCTATCACTATCATGCACCTTACCTTGGTTCCAAACTGAACAATTTCTGTCTTGTGGTAGCATCATAAAGATTTATGGTTGTATCAGATCCAGCTGTGATGTATTGTGACGCAGATGCATTAAATGCACAAGCCAAAACCTGCCTACCACCTTCCTGGATTGAACTAATGCAATCCATTGTAGGAACATGCCAAGTCTTTACAGAACCACTTGCATCTAGCAGAGCAAAACACACCAGTTTAACATCACTCTTGCTAGCAATGTATCTGGCCTAGATTTGCCCAACTTTTATGTTTTACTCTGTATAATGCCAGATAGTTTTTCAATCAGGGCTAGTTGTTGAAAAGACAGTTAACTTAATACTGGGAGAATGCATTCAGATACAATGTTTTACGCACTGACCCTGATTAAACCCTTATGTCAAAGTTGATATGCGTTCAAAATATTAAAGTGTATTAAATATTTTACATGTTGCCAACAAGATATTCTTGAAATCTTGGTTCCCAATATTTGGCCTCCATCTGAGACACGTCACAGGCAAAGGTTGTCCGCCGGTATCTTCTGCTGGTAACACATATACACATGATAGCGGCTCAACTGTGTAGATCTGAAAATATCGCTCATATATTATATAGCTGGGATATTAACAAAAAGTAGCCTATATCTTATGCATGGAGCCTACTCTATATGGTATTTATGTAATTAATCTCTAGAGATTAATTGTCAAACAATTTCAATTGTCAGTTGTACCGCTTGTACGCTAACTTATTCACGGAAAATGTGCCAACAAATGCATTTTTACTTGCTTTCTTACTTCGTAGAAGAGCACTGCAAGTAATTGTACAATAAGCGGTCAACAGAAATAAAACCAAACGCATAAAATTTTGAAATATAAATACATGCTGCATACTTTTGTAACCCCGTTGACCAGACCAACAGCAAGTAGGTTTCCTTCAGGGTTGAAACGGCAGCACATTATTTCCGAATCGGTCTCTCTATTAGAAAGACAAACACAACGATCAGACAACCGCAAGCACTTTTAAAGTGTCTTTATCTTGTGGCTGTGCATGTATGCAGTATGCAAATAATAGCAAAAAGATATGTCAACTTACAAACGATTTAACAATTTCAAACCGCCTTCGATGTTCACTTTGAAACGATGTGAATGTCCAACATCGCTTACGAACTGTTCCCGCGGTGTAGAAGGAGCAGATGGAGGATTTTGAACAAGAAACATTGCGATTTTGTCTTAAAAAGTATTTTACAAATTTTCAAAACTTTTAAAAGTCTCCGAGTTATTTGCTAGGAAACTGTAAACAATGACAAACCTAGCTTACCCCCAGTGGGTTGGGGAGATTTGCTCGATCAGAGTTTGCCTGCAGCCAGGGTGGTGCATCACAAGAAGCCAAAGCTCGAATGCCCGCGCACCCGCAACCTTTTTCCCCCGCTTTTTTGCTGGGTCAAAGGTAATCGTCTGCACCGCAGGCTAAAGGTAATCTAGAATAGTAGAATTAACGAGCATCTCCATTTTCGGAGTATTAAACCCACATAGTTTTTTGTGCATAAAAGGATTTTTTTATTTTAGAACTTTCGAAAAACGCCTACAACAAAAGTAGTGTTGAAAGCAATTTAAATTCTCTCCAAAGAAATAGTTTAACTTCAGTCACTGGGTTCAATCTCCCAGAACACACTTTGTAGCATCTTGAGCGCCAGAGAGAACACACAACTCTTAATCCTTGCTTTGAATCAAAGTAAATACAAAGTATCACTGTATCAGTTCTCTGTGCCCCAAACAGTGGATTAGACCGATTCTGAAAAGTCGCTATTTTCCAAGATAGCTGAAAACTTGGAAATAGGCCAAAGTGGGGTTTAGTGAATAAATGCGATGTTTCCCGCCAGGGAAACAAGTGAAAAATTGTTGCCAGCTTCTTGTCATAACAAAGTAAAGTGATTTTTTTAAAATGAAATTGTTGTGTAACATGTATGTTTTTGTTCCTATATAACAAAGCACTTAATGTACACTACCTCGGGAAATAGTGAGTTTTGTTTTCCCTCGAGTCTCAGACTCTTGGGAAAACAAAACTCCGTGACTATTTCCCTCGGAAGCAAGGCATTAGGTTTAAGTGTGTAATAGCTCGCCATTATTCAGGCATTAACTATCTAAGTCAAAAAGTTTATTGCTGAGGCAGTCTTTAAGCTTAACAGCAATGTTGACCACGCACAGGCCTAATCTATCCGAGTCTGTAGCCATAGCAAGATTGTAAGTAGATGTATAAACAAGCAATCCCCCGGAAACAAAAAGTTATAAGGGTTGGAATAAGCTTTTGGCTTATCTCGCCGGGGGGCTAAAATCACCGTTAAACTTTAGTCTGTCGCCATGGTAACTGGTAAGTAGGTGTATCATTACAAGAAAATATCTGGACGTCTCGATGTGAACGTCTTCGTCAGATGACGTAAAAAGTATCAGTACAGCTTCACTGACCTATACTAGTATAGGTCATAATTTATAGTTACCACAACCTCGCCTCAGAGTATCAAAAATGACGTGTGTCAGAGAGAAAAAAATACGAAAGTCGAACACTAGTCTATGGAAAGGTCGAGAAATTTTCCTCTAAAATTACCGCGGCCCATAATTATAATTACTATATTATATTACTTCCCTTTGGCTAAAATTGCCAGCCGAAATTTAATCCAATTAATAACTTTGATCAGAGTTAATTAGAAAAACGAACTGTGCTTAAAAATAGTTTATCAATCAAAAGACATTTTTGTTCGTTGCATGGCCGATTACTCTAACCTAGTTTACACTTCGGGTCGAAGCTGCAGGGTGATTATTTATCTTGGTAACCATGGCAAAATGTGCCCATAAATCATTTGGACTTATGAACACTTTCAAACCCTCGTTACCGTTGTATATAACCAAAATTCCGATAAGACGCGTTGTTGAGAAAAGTATTTTTATTAGGGCACTCTATCACTTACTTCAAGCGCGTCGTTCAAGGATCGTGCGTGATTAATGAGGAATTCTCAGCGAGAAACTAAGGCTTATTGCATAACTTGCGTCTTGGATCTGCGTAAACAATTCCTAGAAAAAGGTCTTTTGCTATGGTTGTTTATCGCCTACGAACGCTACAAGCGAATCAAAGCTGTTCTCTTAATTCTTTGCCATTTCTTGTCGCAGGGGACGATTTTCGATAGCTGTCAGATTAAAGTCTACTTGGCTTATGATAAGTGATTCGTCTAAGAAAGTACCGGAGTTTGCGTCATTGACACGAGGTTCAAATGCCGACTATGTGGATTAGGATGTGTAGAGACGCTATGTCTGTTGTTTTCATTGATATGACAATTAATACACGTGAGTTGAGATGCTATCTTGGCCGACAACGTTTTATTTCACTCGAATTCACTGAATTTCACAGAAAAATTGCTGAAGCACATTTACCTCAAATTTCTTCACTTTGAGACTAATGGGGGCAGAGGTTTTCTGATAATTAACAAGTATTCAGGTTCGCGGTTAGGCTTCCAAAAAGTAGCATTTTTGTAAGTACATCTCAAATTCTACAATCTCGATTCAATTCCCAAAAATGGCGTTGCGAGTGGAGATGCAGCAGCGCTATATTCGGAATTGTTTTTCTCGAAAATATGTCCGTCGGATGGATGGAATGTGACCAGTTGTCAAAGCTTCGGAATTCGAAGTCTTGGATCGAAAGTAAGCGAGATTTTCCACCAAGCTGAATTATTTAATCAAACGAAAGTTTCGCCTGATTTCCATCTCAATTGCGTCCGGTCAAGGAAGTCCCGCTGCTAAATCATATGCTATATTGTTATTGAATTTATTCTATTTAACCTTAAAATGTAAAAAGAAAAATTTTTCACGATGTTTCTCCCGACAAAGGCATTAAGGCAAGAGTACTTTATCGAAGGCAGTTTGATGAAGAAATATATACACGGAACACGAGATTGCCTCGTCCCAGGGGTGTGTTTGTTGCTGGGGGGGGGTGCTCAGAAGGGCGTAATTCAACTCTTTCATTTCTACCATGCATTTAAGCGCCCAGCTAGGAATGCATTAAGAGAGATCCACTTTTCATTATTTTGGCAAGGTACCATTGCCTGGGGGTGCCAATAGGGTTAACAGCTTAGCGAATAAAGACTCTTTTCTGCAGTCGGTAAAGTTACGAACTATTAAGTGACAAGCGAATGAAAATCTTTGATTCTTTTACTCGAAATTATGCTTTTGATCGACCTTAAATGACTAAACAAAGTTTTACTGTTTCCGATTTTTTTTACAAACTATCAACTGTTTACTGACCACAACAAGTCAGCGAGATCCCGCGTTGGCATCCTCTTGTGGATCAGATCCTAAGATAATTAATACCTTGTTGTAGTCTGTATCTAGCTCAGCCCACCCATTTTATCGTTTACGTGGGGTACTTACACTCGTGTTAAAATTTCATTCACAAATGGGATAACTTAATTATATGCTTGTCAGCAACAGCGGCCGTGGATGAAATCTTGGCCACTGGCCCTGGGTCAAAAAATGGGTTCGTTCATTGCATACAGTACATACGGCATCTTCTTCCAAGCAAAAGTGACACGTGTAGTGTAGATTATATATGAATTAATGAAAGTATTTACCAAAAACATTGTCTCTAAATGCGGTAATTATATCAATAAAGATCCTTCGCGTATAATCCAGGTCGCAAGTTAACCTGGGCTAATCATGGTCAACGCCATTTCCGTGTGAACAATCACGACCGGATAGGGCGGAATAGATGCCCCTGCATGATGCAAGGAATTAACCGTCTTGTCTCTCTTGCGTAGCGACATCTTACGTTGTACAGTAACCAAGGCTTACACACGTTTGATGGGTTGGTTCTGTGGTTGGTTGTTGTGATGTTAAAGCCTTCGTGAAATAGTTTTCATCATTTTCGTCATAGACAAAGAGGTTTTTCTTGCATGCTATTTCGTTGGTAAAAAATTGCCCGGGAATTTCAGGAAGGTCGAGAAAACATTGACAAAAGTCAGCGACCCAGAAAATAATGCAGGATAGCGGCTATCGGTATCCACCGGATAACGTTTCATTTCAATCGCTTGAAAGTTTTTCCGTAGTTTAGTAAGTGACCTGTTGAAGTTTTAAATTAGTAGTGTTGGCGGCTCTACACTTTAATGGCTTTTCAAGCTTTTTGCAACAGTTGAAAAAATCACTATATATCCGTTTTATTGCGCTAACCTTGGTGAAACAAATCGCTGATCTTTAGCCTTTCACTGAAAAAAAGACTTTTGATATGGTAGTGATAGATCAGTTTTACGCACTGACGTAGAATACAAGTTGTTGAATGAAAACTCAATTCCGCGTTTGCAATTTCAGGTGTTTACCAACTGTAAGTGAGCATGAAATGTACATAATCCAGGTACAATCTGATCTTATGCTAGAGAAACATTTCATTGTATTCTCATTGTTTTGAAAATAAATTATTCCCAGCCGCCCCGCTGTCTCACTGCTTATTGTTTTGATACGCTTATTTTATACTAAGTATTTGATCACCACTTGCCCAATAGGTCACCACTATTCCTGCAAAACTAAAGAGGTAACGTGTATACTCCATTAATCTCGCGTGAACCAGTTTACTAATTTGTAACATTAGCGAATTCGGATCATTTCGTTCGATGCCATTTTTATTCAATTTCATTGTTCATTTCATTGTTAAATTGTCAACGTTTGCTCGATAAATCAATACTTTATTTTATCTTCAGATCATTATAGACCGATATGCTTGGCTTAAATTTAACGTTTATTATGTTATTTATGTAATTTCGGTGAAAATTAGCACATGCCTGTAATTAATCCTGAAATTGTGGATTTCATGATGTCAATTTCAATCATAAGCTTTTGCCGGAACTAACCGGAATGCCTCGGTGAGTTCCGTATTCGCCCACGTGACGCATTTCAACCAATCACATGCCGTTGCTGCAATAACTGGAGTCGGGAGAATCGCTGCCATTTTCCTTGTTCGTGTGAAACGTTTCGAAAAGTTTCGATTAAAAAAGACATTTTTCTGGCGTATCTTTTGGCCTTTTCCCGCTTCGTGGAAAGCAACGTCATGCGTCTAGCATGACTTCTGGCAGTTTATCTTCAAATGCCGTGGATTTAAGGGAATGTAGCTCCAATTTGTTCACATTGGTATGTCATGTTCTAATGCATATGTCGCTATGTTATGTTCGAATCGTTATTATACACACATGTTTACAATGTATTAAACGTTAAATCGACCGCTTTTAAGAATCCACCATTTGATCCAAGTGCCTGTAGAGTAAATACCAACAATTGTCTGACCAGAATATATTTATAAGCCATTAAATATCACCTACTTTAATGCACGCTTTCCCATCAGTGTTTTAATACACTATACATGTATATAATATGCTTCATTGACTTCTAACATTCGCGTTTGATTCTTCACTCTTATCTCTGTTTCATGGCGAGAAATTTTAAAAATAATTAGAGGGATTATTGATCTATATAATAGGCAAAAAGACTGCATATTATGCTTGAGATACAAGTCATTTGTGCGACATAAGAGACGTATCGTTTTGCCCGGTGTAAACAATGTAAAATCGTCACACAGACAATTTTATTATTTTACTCCGTTCTGGTAATCACTTCCTTACAATATGAACGGTTTCAAGCGGTGTATGAAGCCAAGTTTCAGACCACATAACCGGGCAATGGTTACTGTACACCCATGGTAATAGAAAAGCGTGAAACCCCAGTTAATTTTGAGCCATCTTATGTCATAAATACGGTACAATGTTTTATTCGAAAGAACTATGTCTGAGCCAGTTCGATGGGAGATAATTTATGTACGACTCATCTCTTCTAAAGATCAAAGTTAAATTTCACATTTTACCCGTAATATAATGTAGCCAAAATAACCTTTTTTAATTATATTACGGTATATATTTGTTTTGTATATACGGCACATCGAATATGTGCCAAAATGTGCAATAATATATGTAGAGATGCGATGTTTATCGAACTACGATGGTCAGATATTAATGTAATTTTCGCTTGTCATAAGCTGGCTTTTTGAGCTTACTAATTCTATCATAAATACACGATAAATCTCGCCGGTATATACACATACATTTGAGGCAAACAAGTGTCAAAATAATTACCGTTGTTTGGTAAAAAACAATTTCGGTTCAATAGCGCTAAGAGTGCGCCTAGATGGATAGGGAACTCCAAACTTGAAATATCACTCTGTGTAAATGACAGGCCTGTTATTATGCGCGTTAATTGACGAAGTAGACGTGATATTGGAAATAACAAGGATAGATGGCCTCAAATTTGTACAAATATACTGTGAAATATAAACCAGGAACCCCCAAAACATGCTTCTACCTTTTGAAAGCATTAAGCAAACATGTTTATTGTGCCTTGGAACTTAGATGATATTATACACTCACTCAACGTAATCAAAACTCGTTTGCCCACATGTGGCATTCAAAACTTTCTCCTTGCACCATTTAAATGCCCTTTAGGAGGTTAAAACCTCGAAACCTCATGCAAAATGTTATACAGTCTAGTTCGCGTCGATTTTAGCCCACAGTCGGATTGAATATCGTATTTTTTAGGAGCACTTAAGTTGCTGTCGGGAGATTCTTTTGCAAGAGAAAGTATATTGTCCTGTTTATAACGACAACAATTTATATTCCTCATAAGTCGAAATTAGTAAAGTTTACATTATAATGAGTGCGAAATATCAGACAAAATGATGTATATTTGAGTTCAATAACGTTACAAATAAGCTGTGAAAGCTATAATTTCCTGCTAGCAAGCGATTTACTTGGGAATATAAGGCCTTATCCTTATTATACTGCATTGTTGAGTCTTTATGTCCTCGACAATGTGTAATGACAATAATGTCTCTCGATTGTTAAACTTCGAAGATGGTTTTGTTAAACGCTAAGAAGTGTAAACAATATTACACCGCTATCGAGTTTATATTCCACAAACATTTAAATTTGCAATATGATATAGACTGTAGCGTACCAATTTAAATTTTCAATTCCCTGTTGACCTATGGATAAGTGCAAGCTTTAAAAGTGAACAGCATCTCGTAAGCACATTGAAATAATGATTATCTGTGTTAGGAATGCATTTAAACGATAAGGAGATGTCTTGTAACTTTTATCGACAATTAATTGCGAATATTTTGCCAATATGAGTTCTTCAGGCCAGTTAATTTTATCAGTTATTATATGTTCTTGAAAAAAATTTTCTATGTAGAAATTTTGAATGAAGTATGATGCAATATTCCTAAAAGTTTTAAAACGAAATTTTGATCTCAAGCTGAATGATCAATGCCAAATAAAGTTCTGCTTATTGTACATGAAAAATGTTCTGTATGTTGGGAATACAACTTTATCCAAAAAAATGGCAGTCCTATGTGATGCTCAGCCTTTCTGTACAGTACCTGTAATTGAAATGGCATTACCCTACCATTGCATGCATTGTCAATTTGACAATTAAAATTTCTTGAGAGTTTTCTTAACCAACTCTTGCAGTAGTTTTAACCGTAAAAAATGGCAGGTATTTCAGAAGTGAAGTATTAACATTTACTGTAGGGCATATTGGCAAATATTATGCAAGTATTTATGGACAAAAAATAAAAAAAGCAATTCTGCGAGATGGTGTGGAAAGTCATCAAATTAAAAGTCCCTCGCTTTTTCCAGTGTTGATGTGTACTTTAACCCCTTAGTCAAAGTTATGAAATATGTTCTAGTTTAGCAACTTGAGACAAGTTCTGTGCCAAACCGTTTCAGACAAGCTTAAAAAAGAAGACACAACATAATTACTACACTATTACATAATTAGCATAATGGTATATAGCATTTCACACATTTTATTCTTTAATCGCCAGTATATTGATGGGTGTACATTACAAATAGCCTGGAGATATTTTTGTAGTAATTCTGTTTTGACTATATATTGATGGCAGTAGTTCAACTTTTCCACTCATTTTTTTTAATTTACAATCATTTTTGTTGCATGAGATAATCATTTCCAGCTGTGAGTGTTATTATTTCAGTTTTTAAAATCTATATTAGCTTTTCAAATTTTCCATTTGAGGTGCCTCACAGTTTTACATATTGTTTTGTGGTATTGCACAGTGTTACATAGTGTAACACAATGTTACATATTGTTGTATGTTATTGCACATTGATACAGTGTCACATATGAATTTATATACAGGATAGACACATTCAGCTGTAGAAAATTAGCTGTTATGAATGTGTGCCCTGATAATGAAAAATGTTCTGTTGTGTGAATACAACATAATGATACATAATCATACATATTGTTGTATGGTGTTACACTGTTATTACATGATGTCCCATAGTATTACATGATATTGTGAATGTTGCATAGTGTTAAACAGAATTTCATGATGTTATATAGTGTTACATGTTGTTGTACAGTGGTACCTGCCGTTGTACATGATTACATGGTGTTTAACAGTGTTACATAGTGTTTTACAGCATACATGGTGTTGTACAGTGTTACATGGTCTTAGAGAGTGTTGCATGGTGTTGTACAGTGTTACATTGTGTTGTACAGTGTTACATGGTCTTAGACAATGTTACATGGTGTTGTACATGGTTACATGGTGTTGTACAGTGTTACATGGTCTTAGACAGGGTTACATGGTGTTGTACAGTGTTACATGGTCTTAGACAGTGTTACATGGTGTTGTACAGTGTTACATGGCATTAGACAGTGTTACATAGTGTTATGCTGTAATCCATGGTGTTATACAATGGTTCATAGTGTTGCCCAGTATTGCATGGTGTTGATAACATGACATTACACAGCAGTACTGACCACAGTAATTTTTAGTTTGCTGAATTATTCTCCATTCATTTCAGGCTGATATTAATGCTCTAAAGTGGTGTAAATATACTGGGAATTTGCATTCGCTGGACAGACCCTTGGAGGACCCTGTCCTAACGTCCTTCGCCAATGCCCTCAAGAACAACGTGCTGTGTTCCTGGAGACACTCCCCTCCCTACACCACACCGAGGTTGAACCAAGGTCTGACCTGTTCGGAGAGCGCAAAGGAACTCTGGTTGTTTTGGTATGGAGATGATCCAAGAACGATCGATATTGTCGATACCAGCTTAAAAGGTATGTATTCATATTCAAATGCTCAAGCAATATGATGATTTGTGTAAACACTGGATTCAAATTTTTTTGGGTATTTCTAAATCTCAAAAACAGCTCTAAGGAATATGCCAATATTACACTATGTTAAATAGCTGTTCACCAACTTTCCTGTAAGTTTAGAATGTTATTAAATCAAGTACTTTAAGAAATGCAATAGACCATGATGTTTCAGATGTTGTGACCATGATAATAGCCATTGAAACTTAGTTTTAGCTAAAAAAAAAAAAAGCTGAAAAGGTCTTTTGGTGATCAATGTCTTTTGTACGAAATCTGTCAGACTAGAATATGTTGTCCACAGTTTTTTGATCATATATAGGCTGCTGTGTGTTTTATAAAGACAAACTGTAATTTTTTTTTCAGAATCTGATCATGGCTCATGGGAAAGTAACTTCCCCAATGAAGCAAAAGTTCTCCTGTTCAAAGCTCTTCACAACACGTTAGAAAGGTAAATACAATCAACATGGGAAATTAATGAGTTTTATTGCAAATGAAACCAATGTTTTGTGCAGTATATACTGATACAAAATTCCACCAGGTTGTGGCCAAAATTGTACGACAGTTTCATCCTTATAGTTTGAAAACTAAGAAAGCAATTGTTATTAATGTTCAGCAGTGTTTAACGCGGTTTCAGATATAATCTTGCATGCAATTTTGACTGATAAAGCTAGGTTAAATTAAACAATCATTTTTGAAGACCGACGATCTGTTATAATCAATTGAGTAGGTGTTACGATTTTATCACATTAATTTAACGAAAAGTTAAAATTAGGAAATATTTATTTAAAAGATATTTCAATCTATTTGCTAATGAATACAAACAAAAAAAATGAGAATTACGGACGATATATATAGCCTACAATTCGTCTTAGGATTATTATTTTTTTTAAAATCCTATTTAGGCCTTAATTTTTATCAATTCTGACAATATCGATTCCTGTGTAAGCGGATGTATCACTCTAAATATGGCATTGGAAATGCTCATGGCTTATATCAAATTTGAAGTTGTACATTACAGCCCTTTTTTCTAGTACCATTTATTTGGGTTTTCATTTTGCAACCGCACACACCTGCTGGTCGCCTACTCCATGTATATTGTGTAAATGACAAGTCTAATACAAGTGACCTCTTTTGTATTTAAATAGGCACTTGTTGTCCAGACATTATGTCCGTGTTGGAAAATGGTTTGTAAATTTAGACAACATAATCCCAAGCACAGCTGAAAAGTAAGTGTTCGTGCAATGTATATAATAGTTTTCGGGCTACTATTAAACGCGCAATGCGTTGCACTTTTTATAAATATGAGATATATACGAAGTGTTGGCAATCTGCCATGGATTTTATAGTTTAAAATGCCAATCCCATTTAAAACTATAAATAATCATTAGTTCACAAAAATGACGGTTTTCTGCGATAAACCTTGAATTGTACTGAGTCACATATGCAACTCGTAAATACGTGTAGCAATGGAAAGAGAGGAAAGTTGATAGTTTCTAGTCGAATTTCAACACATATTGTGTGCAAATATCCCCTGTGTCTGTGAATTATGCAAACTTCGCATTTAGCGAAACCAGACGTTTGACGTAATTATCTCATGCACAAACAACTACTTTACATCACTGGAATCTGTGAAAAAAGCGTGTGTGTATAAAAAAATGTGAGCGTGGAGTGCTTGCCCACACATACGCCTGTATTCAAAAAGCTCACTCACACTCATACTCATCGAGTGTGACATATAAATTTCGTTAATGCTGATCAATGAGAAAGTTCTCTCTGAATAGATGAAAAGATATAAGATAAATCACTGAAAATCAAGCCCCTGTTCGGCTGGAAATACCGCCATTGAAACGTTATGAGAAGATTAAGATCTCCCACTCAATGAGTTTGAGTGTGAGTGAGCTTTTAGAATACAGGCGATAGTCATAGCACAACAATCATGGCTTTCTTGTTCTTAACAAACACTATACATGCATAGGAAGTTAGAATGATTTTAAAGACAGAAGATGTTGCCTTAAGTGTTGAAAATTGTCAATCGTGCTTCATCTTTTGTGAGCTACAAAAACTCATTCCGGATTCTTCAAAAAAGCCATCTTGCTGCAAAAAAAAACACGTTTAAAAAGGTGACAAAATCTTGATCAGTTAAACTTTTTTGTGGGAACATATTTTAAGTTTTGAATTGACTGTCGTGTTGAAATAATTTTTATATGAAATTCTAAAGAAATTTCCGCAGGCGAACTAGTTTTCTGTAAGTGAAAATCCACCCTAACACATTTAAACTCTTGTATAGTTTGGAAATTTAATATCTAAAGATACTTGTTAATGGATTGCAACTTTTTTGTGTGATTCAGTTCCAGGAAACCGGAAAGCTATCCGCGCTTTTAGCAGCTCAGTCCGTCTGAAGCCAGATAATTTTGCTTGTCAGAGGAAGAGACCTGTTTAATCTCGAGGATATTGTCTTACGATTAACATGTTTGTTCAATTTTCTTGTAGAAACAAGTTGTTCTTTTCTTTCGCGTTTTGTCTCCAAGGGGAGAGCAAAATATGTTTGACTGTTGATGTGAAACAATTGCCCGGTGTTCGACACATCCTACCCGACGATTTAGCCAACGCGAGAGCTTTGCAAGGGGATTTTAAAGGTGCGTGTATCTTCATTTCAGGAGCCGATTGTTTGATGATAAAGTTGCCCACTGTATAGTGATTTTTTTAAAAATCTCTACCCTTTTGTATGGCCAAGATAAAGCTAAACAATTAAAGTTAAAATTGTTTTTAATAATTATAAATTTGATGAATGTAACTTTACTGAAAAGTATTTTGACGAAGAGCGAGTTTTCCATAACAAGACTTCCTCAACAAAATATATATTTTAGTTATTCTGGGACCGTATGGCGTCAAGGGAAATTTGACAGGCCAAGGTTATCAACATAATAGCGTCGGCGTGAACAAACTTCTAGAAGACTGGAAACGATTCTTTCCACTGGACGTAGTTGATGACTGGACAAACGTGCCTGAGGGGATAGAACACGATATACCCGTGGTAGTTGGGGTTAAAGTAGGAGGAAATGTCATCAAATGCCCCTCACATTACGTCTTGGTTTCCTTAGACAGCGACAGTGCTGAAGGTAAATAATTCGTCATCAAATCCTGCCTGTTCAGATCACGTGTTGATTTTGCCAGTAACGTGGGGTGAGAAAAACGACACGTGATCAAAACGTGGATTAATGGGTAGCAATTGGGATAGCAGGAGATACTAAAAGATATATGAAGGAAAATTACCACGTTTTCGGCTCTTGTAAAAATTATCTTAATTTTTTTTTCTAGAATCGTCAAACCAAACACCACCTGTCTTTATGACCCCTCCCGCCTCTCCATTTGCGCTGATAACCGCTGAGAAGAATAACGAGCGGCTCGCCTCAACGGCACCGGCCGAACCCGAGGCGAAGTCGGAGGGTGTGACGAAAGTCACGGACAGTAAAGCTGTGGCCTGCGAACTAGTTAATGAGGCGTGGAAAGACATTACCGCTACCAAGTCAACGTAAGTATTGGAGTCTAGAGTTGTTACACTCTCCAGCTATTAAGTATAAATAAAGTTAGCTTAGTTTAGGTTTCCTCCTGTAGTTAGACTGGATCAATACGAGATGATCCTTACTGGTCCTCTAGGAAGAACAGTTTAGAACTGATAGAGCTATCCAGTAAAAATAAAGTTAGTTTAGTTTAGGTTTCCTCCTGTAGTAACACTGGATAAATAAGAGATGATCCTTACTGGACCTCTAGGAAGAACAGTTTAGAACTGATAGAGCTATCCAATATAAATAAAGTTAGTTTAGTTTAGGTTTCCTCCTGTAGTAACACTGGATCAAAAATGATCCTTACTGGACCTCTAACTATTCAGTATGGCAAGTAAATTTTATCTTAAACTTCTTTACTTTTATATTTCAGAAGTAAAACATCGGGAGTGACTGCAGCTCAAAATAAAGCTTTTGGTACAAACTTCAAAGCCGATCAAGAGTCGTTCTGGAACCTCAAGGAACCTCTGAGCCGTAAATCGTGTTCATGCACATCAAGCAGCAATGTAAGTCGGTCGCGGACCACACCTCCTAACAGACCGTTTGGTATCAACCGACCCAACCCTACCGGGTCACAAAACACCCACATTACCCTCGCAAACAAACAGAAAAAAGAGCGGGAACGCAAACCTGTACTACCCTTCCATCAGAGAGAGGGGAAAGTACGAAATGTCACCCCGGCCTCCAAAGGACATTCCACGTATAACTTAGCGACCTACGTTGAGGACCAGAATCGTCAGCCAAACAGTCAAAACGAGGCTAACCCTAAATCCACAGACAGCGCAGACGGAATAAAATCCAAACCAGCGCTGCCCTTTACAAACGAAAATCTTATTGACAATATAAACAATAATGTTGGTGAAACGTTTCTGAAACTGACTCCCCCGGTTTCGACGCGACTTTCCGAAGTTGTACGAACGGGTGACGATCGTAAGAAGCCTTCACGAACGAAGGACGATGTTTACTCGAAGTCTCGAATATCGACTGCCGACGTATGGAAATGCTATGAGGTTTTTACCGGAGATCCGAAGTTCAAGCCCAGGCTTCCTGATGATGTGCTCGATTTCAGGGAGGGCGAGAGGCGACCGCTGACTACCGGGAACGTTGTGTCGATGCCTGAAAATACGCGGGAGGTTTTCAAGATTGAGACCATTGAAAATAAAAAGTAAGTTGTTAACGAACCTTGGGATGTAATGTAAATAAAGTTAGTTTAGTTTAGGTTTCCTCCTGTAGTAACACTGGATCAATAAGAGATGATCCTTACTGGATCTCTAGGAAGAACAGTTTAGAACTGATAGAGCTATCCAGTATAAATAATAAAGTTAGTTTAGTTTAGGTTTCCTCCTGTAGTAACCCTGGATCAATAAGAGACGATCCTTACTGGATTAATCTAGAAAGAACAGGTTAGAACTGATAGAGCTATCTAAAATAAATAACATTAGAGATTTGTTTATGCTGATTAAACTGTGTTTCATATTCGATAGTTATCAGAACAAAAGACAGTCAAATGACGATCCTGCACCTGAAGTTGAAGTTCCTACCAAACGCATGCGCCGAAGCTCCTCTGCGACTCAGCCTAGCCGGGTCAAGCCGGAAACGCCCGCTCCCGTAAAGCCTCGAGGGCATCGGAGCTCGAGTACCAACAAGTCCCAGATTCCTGCTCCGTCATCCGAACCAACCAGCCTTGCGCTTGAGACACCCGATTCCGTCTTTCTACCAGCATCGCGTGGTCGAGCCAACAGCACAAGCAGCACCGGGTCTGCGGCTTCGCCAGCACCTAACTCTACTTCATCTAAGACGAGTCGCAGTGCGAAGCAACGTCGACAAAGCAGGAAATCTCAGGATAAGAAATCGAAGGAACCTGTACCGAAGCAGGAACCTGTAAAACCGGAAGCAGAACAGGTTTTACCATTTATTGCCTCTCCCCCCACCCCCAGAGTATCGTTACGGACGGAAAAAGATCTACAAGTGACGTTTTCTGATCTGGACAACATGTTTGATTCCCCGGATGAGGAGGAAGAAGACAAGCAGGTGAGTTGCGATAACTGATCTATATGCTAATACTGGACCGCGCAGTATAGATTCCCACCATGAATGATCTCATTCGGCTTCAAGATCGGGCCACTTAATTCCGGCAGGAATCCACTTTTATCACTACTTATCCCATTACCACAATAGGTTTCGTTGATGTGTAGCAAATGCCCTATCCAGACTCTATCATTAGATCAGTGGTGTGTTGTCATGTGTTGATACTACTATATTGTCTCTATTTACACTGTCTGCTTCAAAAATTTCGCTTTAACATTCATCGTCTTATTTGTAGCGCCAACTGCTGTCCGTATTCACCGACAACCACTCGCCTCCAGTCCACCACGGCCACGAGGATTTGAGCCATAAGACAAAAGTGCCGGTGCCGGTGAATACCGGCCCTGGAAACGTTTCCCATAACGATCTTGCTCGGATGTTCCCCACTCCTCCCATGTTAGAAAATCATCCTCCGCATTCTCCACAACCTATGACCACCATGGCGCCGACTCCCCCTGAATATAGCGAATTCAAGACAAAGACGATGAGTGAGGAAATTCATGATGTGCTTAATCAACTGAAGGTACGTGTTTCTTGGCATTCTTAAATTAACTTTTTGTCATTTCGTCCAGTGAATATCTCCTAAATAATCTGGCGTCACTACAGGAGGAAACCTAAACTAAACTAACTTTATTTATACTGGATAGCTCTATCAGTTCTAAACTGTTCTTCCTAGAGCTCCAGTAACGATCATCTCTTATTGATCCAGCGTTACTACAGGAGGAAACCTAAACTAAACTAGCTTTATTTATACTGGATAGCTCTTATCAGTTCTAAACTGTTCTTCCTAGAGCTCCAGTAACGATCATCTCTTATTGATCCAGTGTTACTACAGAAGGAAACCTAAACTAAACTAGCTTTATTTATACTGGATAGCTCTATCAGCTCTAAACTGTTTTTCCTATAGAGGTCCAGTAAGGATCATCTCTTATTGATCCAGTGTTACTACAGGAGGAAACCTAAACTAAACTAACTTTATTTACACTGGATAGCTCTATATCAGTTCTAAACTGTTCTTCCTAGAGCTCCAGTAACGATCATCTCTTATTGATCCAGTGTTACTACAGGAGGAAACCTAAACTAAACTAGCTTTATTTATACTGGATAGCTCTATCAGCTCTAAACTGTTTTTCCTAGAGGTCCAGTAAGGATCATCTCTTATTGATCAAGTGTTACTACAGGAGGAAACCTAAACTAAAGTAAACTTTTCCTAGGAAACGGCGCCTATATTCGAAATCCCAACGGAGCAGGCATATTTATGTATCTCCACCGCAATACCGCCTGTGAAATCTTTGCCAAGTTCACGTTTACCGCCGCTCAAACTGACCGAGGACATGGTGTACACGCCATCACCACAGGTGAGAACCCGTTTGAATTTCTTATAACCATAAAAGCCTTTTATTCGCTTATACCTGAGACACCTTTTGCTCTGTTGTTTGAAACAACATCGTGTCCAGCCTTTAAATAGTATCGTAAAGAGTGCTACAGTCAGTAGCACTTCTTAAAGCCTCAAAATCATTGCCAAGAATTAAACTCTGAAGCCTTCAACCTGTTGTCTTATTTCCATTTTTCCCACACACTTTTTAAAGGTCAAATCATCCAGTTCTAAAGCTGATTCGTCAAGGTAAGTATTATTTCTTTAATTCCTTTCGATACTTATAAAAAACGAATCTTCAGCAAAAGCGCATTGACGCTTTGACCACAGATATTCTTTTTGAAAGTAGCAACCTGTGAAAACGTTTATCTCATTAAAGGTCGTAATCAATCATTGGTAGGATTTTTTAGGACCTCAAGAAAAAGGCGGGAAATATGATACAAAATATGATACAAATCATTTAGTATATATACCTGTGAATCGCGAGGGGTCTGAAACGATACCTTGCGTTGCATTTTTAAAGCCAAATTGATGAGTGTTACCAAGGCCCCATTCTACAGTCTTCATCCGAGCTTCAATTTTCCTAATTTTCCATTCTTCAAAAGTTTTTATTGCTCACTGAGTTTACTAGAGGAGACGAGCTAATAATGTCACATTTTCTTCCTAGCTTTGCCGCCACGCCTTCTACGAAAGCTCGTACCAGTCTATCGGATATCACCGCTCCGATTCTTGGCTCTGGAACAATCACAACTACATTCAATTCCCAATCGTCGAAGATGGACACAATGTCCCCACACGATCCTCAAACGTCCCAAACAAGACCCATATACGACACGTTTGATGCCGGGGAGCATGACTCCAACGCCATGCTTCACGCGAACCTATTTTTATCCGATTCTTATGTGAACTATAACTCTGATACAAATTTAGACGGCACGAATGCTTGCCTTTGTATAACGGGGGAGCGAAAACGTCCTACGCTGAGCAAGGAACCCATCGGGTTTCTTAGGAACAATGATGTATGTCAGTGCGGGTTGGGGATATTTGAACGCGAGAAACTGCGCCAACATACGGGTCTGTTTTCCAGCGAGTTACTTTATGTAAGCAGCTGTATGGAGAACATGGGCGTAACTTTGGACACTAGGTATTGTGACACGACCAAGAGGAAGCGAGCTGCTTTGCATCTTAAAAAGGAGTCTGTCATAAAGGATTTGAAGCCCGTACAGTCCACGGAATTATTGGGAACGAGTAATTCAACTGTTCTTGTTGATAACCTGCTTGACCAGTTCTCATCGCCGTTGCCCGCCTCTGCTACCTCGGGGAAACTGGGCATGACCGGTTTGGACGGTGATAATACAGGGAGCCCACTTCAGATGAAATCAGGTAAAAATAAATGCGGAATTTTAGAAGCCTCTCAACGAATCTCTTGGTTCAAAAATTGTCAGAGAGTCCGCTGAAAAGCAAGCCTGCTGTACGTAAAGAAAGTTTGCATTTATCAACAAACCTTTCCACTTTCTTTTTTTAGCCTCTGAAGTTGAGAAACTCTCCAAGACCACCGTTGACTTTTTAATGGATCTGAAGCCTGTGATACAGGAGTCTCTTCATAAGGCAATTCACTGGAAAACGTGGGATCAGCTCTCTACGGTACAAGGTCCACTCTCGTTGAAGCAACTTTGCCAGGTGAACAGCAAGGGTTCATCCAACGCGGGCGATCCCGCGAGGATCCCGCGTGTGATTGTCGGCCATGATGGTGATTGGCTGTCCGTGTCGCCGTTGGCATTACACCACTGGGTAAGTGTTGTTGTCTGATGAATCAAGACAAAAACGAGCTTGCAGTCCGGAGTATGCCTTCTTGCGGACTTTAATTAATATTTCCAATATTTTACCCGTTCTGCAGGAGAAGCTGTTCTTAGAACCGTACACGTCATCACGTGACGTCACGTATGTCGTTCTCGCGCCTGAAAACGAGACAACGAACGCGAACGTCAAGCATTTCTTCAGGGAACTAAGTTCCACGTATGAGGTGAGCTTTAGGAAATGGAGGTGGTATGTTTTTGGCGGGAATCTTTTGTCACGTGATTAGAGGTTGGTATTTATTTGACGGGAATTTTTTTCCAACGCGATTTTATGACGTTTTTTAGACGTGTCAACTGGGCCGCCATATTCCCGTGAGCAAAATCTCGTCCATGTCTGGCGATGGTATTCTCAGGATTGGGCCAAAACAACAGACGAAATATGGCAAGAATGTTGTCAGTCCTTGGTTTGGAAAGTATGGTAAGTTGCTCCTTTGGGTAAGGATGGATAACTGCAAACATGTTGATACTAGAATGGTATATTGGCGTTTGTATGACCGAGAGTTTAAGTTGTCATCTTTTCTGAATAAAGTTGTAAACCAAAGTGAAATATGGAGAAAAATCAAGCTTGATTCTTTCCATTATAGAGAGTATATCCGATGGAGCTCGTGTTAAATTGTTTGCCCAAGTATGCAAGTATGAACTAGGTAAGTTGATGGAATATGGAAATGTCACTGCCGCTTGTTTGTCTTTGTGACTTATGCCAGAGTTGTTTTGTGGTACAGGTCCCTTCCTCGAGAAATTGCCTCTGGATAAGCGGACGTCACTTGGCGATGACAGCTCGAAGAAAACTGACTCTGGGTAAGAGTGTGTTATAAAATGTGTTATATTTGTATACTATGGGGTACTGTGTACGGTACGGTACGCTACGAGTACAGTTAACATCATGACAAAACATACCTTATTTTCTTGAAGTGACAACAACCTGCTACGTCAAGACAATTCCTCGATTGTAATCTACATCATCAACCCGTTCGACGAGTCCAACGACAAGGTTTTAAGGAGAGAGTCCTACTATGCCTTGCTTCGAAGTTTCTCCGAAATGGCAGCAGGAATACCAGAAAAACTCCGCAGTCGTCTTGTGTTAGAGGTAGGGGTGGCCTGGATCACCTTGTAGCAAACTTGGAAACAAGTTGTATCGTTGTTTAACACTTGTTAAAATGTTCTCACTACAAGTCTCTTCAGCTGACAATCTTGTAGTTTTGAAACTTTACTACAGTGCAGTGGAGCAGTACAAATCAAACAATGGTGCATTTAGTTAGTTAAAATTCTAGGAAAGTTAAAAGATCCTGGTGTGAAATATGTGTTTCCAGGACCGGAGCGAAAAAAATTTCCATCAATTAACAGCTTTGTTGTTGGTTGATCCACTGCACCATTGCCAACACTTCCACCTCAAACAACTTTGCGTTAAATATGAAGCGTCATGAAGTGTTTTTGTTTGTTACTTCCATGCACTCCTGTTCATCTTATGCAAAACGTAGCCCACCCTTTTCAATCTTTAATGCACTTATTCTTTGATTTTGTCCAGATCGTACCATTACATCAAGTAACCCAGGTGGATGCTTACCAGAAGACGAAGGGCTCGCTCGTATCGTTTGTTAAACTTCTCAAAACTACGGCGTTTTCCGTCTTTTCCCGATGTCGAATGACTTTGAAGAAACCGTATAACACTCGGGTTCACACCGGATTCTGGGCGCCTTCAAGCCAGCGGTTGGCCATGAAGAATCAGGTGAGCTTTTTTGAGTCCATTCATTGGGTACTCTTAAGCCCTGGGCAGATTTGGAAACATTATTTCCCGCCAATTTTTTGCTATGGCGGTCAAAGTGGGCGAACACCACTGATATATATACCGACACTGGATAGTGCATGCTATCGGATTCATTGATGCGATTTTAAAACGGCAATATTTTCAATCATTCTGGTTTACAAATATGTCGAATTCCGTACTAAGCTAAATCTATAGGTTTTAAAATTAGGTTGGCTTTCAAGCAAGTATATTTTCCTATAGTTATCTTAAGAAATACAGTGTGAACTATTCGTAATGTTACCCATTATTTCGTGATTTTAGCCATCGGATAAAACCCGCACACGGGTGTATTCTCCCGCCTATATTTTGGCAACCCCGACGAAGCTCATCCTCGGCGTGGATACGGTGGAGGCTGCGGACGATTTGACCACGCATAAGGAGTCCGCGAGCCTTTTGTTCTGCTGCTACGGTCTATCACATGATCAGCGATGGTTGCTGGCCACTTTCACAGACGACAGAGGCATGGTTATGGAAACGTTTGTGACGGTCGTTGAACCGTTTGGGTGAGTAGCGGTTTACACTGGACCATCAAATAAGCGGAAAATGGATATTTGTGCTTGAGAAGAGAGTAGATTACTTGGAAAATTTAGAGCTTGCGTCGTGTTTTGGCATGCCTTAAAGGCCACAGGTTGCCCGCTATTGTGTTGCTTCACATGAAGTATCCTCATCCTTAATTCAACTGCTGAAATATCATCGCAGGCGCTGTCTTTTTTTTCAGTCCACTTCACTTCGAAGTATTGTTAAAACGTGCATCGTTATTATTTAGTTTACCGGCGAACAAGCGGCGTACAAAACTGCGGATAAAAGCCCTAAGAAGGTTGTGGGAATTTTGCCAAGGGATTACGTCATCCGTGGTAGGAGACTGGAGATTAGTCGTCGGAAAATTGGGCAGATTTTCCCGCCATGAATTACGAGGTAATCACCAGATAAGCGAGAGTGCGAAAATAGCGCGAAAATGAAGGGAATGATTTTTTATACATTTCTTGATTCTTTTAGATTGGGATGAAGTAATTCGCAGTCATTCTTCAAGCGAGTGCACGGATCGTTGCGACGCGTGTTCCTCGTCGCGTTCTCACGCAAGATTTCAAAGCGTTTCCGTCGTTTCGTTGCACAACGAACTGTGTTTGCGAATACACCTCGCGAAAGGTAAGTTTAACCATCATGTTAGGATTGGTATGCAACATCACGTCCCTTTTGGTTATCGCCTTTGCAAGTTGCAACCAAGCCTCACTTTCGTGCAAGGAGAATATATCACATTAAAGCGAGGCTCGACATACGGGAGAACCCCTATAAGTGCTATTAACACACAGTCGGACAGTCATGTTCATTTAAAATGCCTCGTTTATTCCTAGTAACTACGGCTTTCAACAACTATCGTGACCCAGACACAACGATTGTCGAATCGGTAACTAGGCAACGTATATCAAGTTCATTCATTGTTATCAACATCGAAAACTCCCAGTCCACCAGACTCGCACAGCATGACGGTATCCATGACGTCGACGATCGCGGGGGTCTGGTAGACAACGAACTCATGCTGACCGAACCACCTACGGAAGACGACGACGAGATCCCGATGATGCCTTTATTTAGTATGTACCGTATTTATGTATCATTGTATTACGAGTGACAGCGATTTCACGACAAAGTTATACCACATTCAATCTCATAGAATTAAACTTGTAGCGAGCACTTTCGTTGAAAATATGAGAGTTTTCGAACGATGAGTTAAATGGATTTTTTTCGGATTTTAGGTAACATTTTTCCACCGTCAAGAATTTCACATTTACATCAAGATCTTCGGAGCTCCTCGCCACACGAGCGACCATCTTCGGCGCCAATGTTGACAGATACCGTGACGTCATCCTTCGTTCCTATTGGTATACAGTCACCGCATCCCAGCCAATCAGCGTGCAGCGATGAACAAAGCGAGCAGGAGAAGAATTTCGGATTTCCGCTAGCCCACGGTCGTGTTTACACAACGGCACCGCTCGGGCCGGCGTTCAAACAGTTTTCACGCGACGAACATTTGGATGGAAGTTCTCCGGTTGTTCTCAAGGTAAGCTGCGAGAAATTCCTACTTTTCAACGGGTAATTCAAGTTGCAGTCTGAGTTATAATCTTGACACGAACGTTAATATACTCTAGAACTAGAAAACGCATTCTTCGAAGAACTTGTCGGGTATTTTACATGACCTACTTTTTCATCGTTTAGGCGGCGTTGTTACTGCATCGTGTCGATGAAGCTGGTCGTCAAGGAAACCATGTTTTGAGTTCAAATACACACACCAATGTTCTAAGGTAGGCTTTCTAGTAATGGTTAAGCACGAAGGGATTAAGCACAAAGAAATTGTTGCAAGGCAGTAAGTTGTAGCCGGGCTAGTAATCGTAACTGAAATTAAGGAAGGTTGAAAGTGAAACACTGGATAAACGTTTCAAGTAGTACCCACTAGACTAGGCTGGTATTAGTAGCAACAGTCACCACTCAGTCAGACTTGCAGTACTGCAATTATCAACTGACATTGAGGAAAGTTGAAAGTGAAGCACTGAATATAATATTGTAAAGCAGTACCTACTAGACTATTCAGGCTAGTATTAGTAGCAACAGTCAACACTCAGTCAGTACTGCAATGATCAGTGCACATTGAGGAAGGTTGAAAGTAAAACACTGAATATAATATTGTAAAGCAGTACCTACTAGACTAGTCAGGCTAGTACTAGTAACAACAGTCAGCACTCAGTCAGACTAACAATACTGCAATGATCAGTGCAACAGTTGAAAGTGAAACACTAAATAAAACATGCAATGACATTGAGGAAGATTGAAAGTGAAACACTAAATAAAACATTGCAATACTGCAATGACCAGTTATCGTCAAAAGAGGATTTTTAATTGACCATAATCCAATCAAATTAGTCAACTGTTGGTGAAATGTTTAAAGAATTCACTGACCTATACGAAATTCTGCAAAAAGAAGCGAAATTTAGAGATGTTTTACGCTTGCAAAAGCAAACCACATCGCTAAGTTTTAATGTTCACCATTTCCAGATATATCTTGGAGCAATACGACGCTCTCTCGTGGCTAACTGTGGACTCTGTGTCTGAAGACAGAAATTCCTGCCTTCCCGTACATTATATAACCCTGTCCCAAATGACAGAAGCTTTCAACGGCCTGCTTTCCTGAGCCCAATGCAATCTTCATCACCAGAAATAAATTAAGCTCATCAATATTAACTTATTGTCTTCGCACCACAAGTAATCATCATCTAGAGGTTTGCAAAATACCACGATGCTGGGAAAACTGTTTTTTAAATCAACCGAATCATTTGCTTTTAAACTGGGCCAACAAGGTTTTCAACACAACAAATTTGTTTTTAACACAAGTAGGACTTCGTCTGGGCAAAACAAACGTGGTTTTGTACATGACAGTATGGTTTGAAAGAGTCTGTGCTCAAACACGATCAACTTTTAATGAAAATTTTGAAATCAAATTTGCAAGCTGCAAAACACGCATGAAAACTTTTATTAGGAAGTTATTTTTTTTACATCTGGTGTGCAAAAATACTTTGGAGATTCACTTGAGTCCATGCGAACTTACAAAGACTAAAAGAGAATTATCTTCTTGCAAAAAACCAGACAATTCGCAACTCTGTATATTAGTAAGATCCCTTGTCTACGTTATTGTTCTCGTTTGCGAAAACCGCTGATAAAAAACAGCATATCGTGGGCACCTATAATAGAATAGAATATATAGTCTCTATGATTGCATTTAAATACCCCTAAATACAAAAAACAGTTTATCTTGGTAGAATTATCGATTACCCCCTAATTGTTGTGCTGTGCTAATTAAAACTTGCATGATAGATAACCCACAATATGCACGAACTTTTGTTTAACTTGTCAAGGAAGGTCTAAGTTATACTACATAATTTTTCAAGTCCAGGCAGTGGGATTTTAACAGAGTTGCGAAATTAGATATATGAAAAACCAAGAAAGATTGGGGGTTTTTCCTAAAAGTCCGACATCAATTTGGAGCATGTTAAAAAAAATACACGAGAAAAAGAACAAAAATATCGTAAAATCACACATAAATAAACTATTAAACTCACTAAACGCATAGTAAGCTATTTTATGAAATGTTTATAATATTTTAATTATTACAATTATTATTAATATAGATTATTCATTGTTATTCAGTGTAGTACATAGTCATAGAAATAGAGAGAACCTGTATAAGTATTTACTAAACGGTTCGTCATGGCAGACGGATTTTATCTATAAGCTGCTCAGAATTATATTATAATGAATTTGTCGCCTAAATTTGGACCAAAAATGTATTTATGGGCAGTGTAAAGTATGTGGGCGCTTTTGAAGTGCCAGAAAAATTTTTAGTAAAATTGAATGTAGAACGTTTTCAAATCTATATTATTATTGTAATGTGACGTTTCAGTATTATGGTAAAATGTATTGGCGTATTATGAAATGTCGGGCACGTGTGCAGCTCGCGTTTTTTGTAGGAGCGCACGTGCCTGGCATGTATATTTATGAACGTATTCAAATATATCCGCAGAGTTACGCTTTGTAGATAGAACAAGTACTGTAGATAAAATGGAAATTAAATTATTCTTTTCAACATAAAGTGAATGTTTGCATAAATTGCGTGCTCGATGATTTCCAGTGATCTCTAGTACAACTGGAACGATAGCTTTATTACCTTTATAATGAAGCCATATTGTTTTTGCTGATAATGGAGGAGCCATGCGGGGAAAATACGTCTTCAGAAGAACTGGGAAGACCCAGCAAGGAGACAGAAATTGAGTCAAAACCTCGTTTGTGGCAAAAATATGCAAGAAAAGTACAAATTTTTAATGAAACGTTTCCATTTGTGTGACTCCTGGGGAGACTGAGTACAACTTTTGCTGACGTGCCAACATGGCTGCCAATCGGTAACTGAATAATTGTTCCGAAAGCCAAAAGAAAACATCGAAAAACAGCAAACAATCCATCTAAAGGCGACCAGAACTACGATCAGATAAAGGAGCAATGCTTTTGGACCTCCCTCGACGTTATTGCAGGAATTTAACGGCGTTTATTGTGTCAAAACCACCTTGTGTTGTTTTCACAATATGCCTGTGCTGTTTGGCTATAGCACTGTTCTGGCTTGGCTATTACATTAACAATAACGATGTCGTTGATCCTGAAGCTGAGAAGGTAGTATACGATTGTAGCATGTGCAAAATTGAGCTATGGTTATTTACAGATAGTCAGACATACTATAAAAGGTGTACATAGGTGAGGTCATCCGTCATTGATGAGTTTTTCTTTGTTCAACTAGGATTGGAATGATTTCTTAACAAGTCTTAGTAACGTTCAGTTCTGCATTGACAAAGTCAATAGCAAAGTCAATCAACACAGACCGAAGTCTATCAATGATACAAAGAAAAGAGGCCAGAACTCAAAATATGAATCCCCAACTTCAACATATGGTCTACAGCTGATTTCAATTCCGTTAAAAATTGGTGTCCATGTCCGAAATAAGGATCACTTTCTTCATGGAAACATCACCCATCTGACGGCACTGATGGACGCACCTACTGTTGGATCTGGTAAGGATAACCTATAGTGGTAATTAGGTAATAGACCAATCACCTTAAGTCCTACTTTGTATTTGCAAAACTATTTTACTTATCAATATGAAAACTGCAATTCATGTATTTTTTGATCATCTAAGAAAAAATATAAAATTGATTTGAAGCAGTTTCACCTAGCAGCAATATGCTACTGGTTGTGAATGAAATAATGTTTTGATCCCCAATTTTTTTCAGGTCTTTTCAGGAGAAAAATGAATTTGACATTTTCGCTGTCAAAAGTCTGGGACACAGAAGGTATATGAACTGTGCAATGTATCACACCGGATGTTTCAAAGTTGTGATGCAAATGTTTTGCTTTCCAGAGAGAAAGTGTAACAAGAAGAATAATTTATGTAAACTTCCACAAGGGTACTTTCACAGCTGCGTTACAATTCTTGCACCTCGAGAAGCACTTCCTGAATGGTATGATGAATAAAATATTTTTAATGACATTAATGACGAATTTTGTTAATTTCACATTGCTGTATATTATAATATCCGTTACCAGGTAAGCAGTTTAGAATTACAAGTATATGCATTGTTAACACTTCTGGTGACACTAAACAATAAAATTGTAACCTATGTTTGATGATGCTTTCAAGTTAGTCTATATCTGTCAGTTACGTTTTGTATTGGTGAAGTGTATTTCTAAAGTTTTCTTTTTTATTAGGAAGCCAGAGACTTGTAACTCAACTTCATTTAGTTCATTGACAAATATGAAAGCTCTGACAAAGAAAAGTCAACATTCAAAATGTGAATCGGGTGCAGTTATCTACTTTAAACATCCGGTCGACCTTGAAGTTCGTGAGAAGCTTTCAGTGGTAGGAAATATAGTTTTTACTTCGAGATTTAAACCATAAAAGCGATGACCCATAATACATGAACTAATATAAATAATTGTATTAAAAATGAAGGTATATTGAGGCCAAAATTCCTATAGTATTAATGTACAAATATAATTCTGTGTAGGATGAACGGGCCAAGGCAAACCTTCATTTGCAAGTGACAAGTTATTTCCTATTTATTCTTGTGATTTCATCCATCATTTATGGTATGCTTAAAGGAAAACCTCTGAAATCCAAAAAGGTGGGTGATACAATTTTTTTCTCCGGTTTTCTCCACATGAAAACACTCTTACATACTAAGTAATCTCCATGGATTTTTATGATGATGCTAGAAAAAAATTCATGATTCATAAATTTATACAAGTATCTATTGTGTGAGAACAAATGCTCAAAAATCATGTCTTTTTCACAGGTAACCTTTGAGTCCAACGGTTTGTAACAAGATAATATTGTTAAACAAATATTCACATGTTGTTACTAGTGCAAACTAGTTTTTGGATCAGTTTGTTTTGATCGATAAATGCCGTTGAATTGGAGGCAGGATCAAGTTATAAAAGCTGTTGTAAACGGCCCCAGCAAGTGACAAATAAGAATTAATTGTAATTTATTCCTTGCATTTACAATATTTATTTATTAGTGCTTGTTTTCAATGCTTATATAATTCACACATTAAATTTGTATTTATTTCCTAAATTACAACCCTCTGGCTTGTTAAATAGGTGTAGATGGTAATAAATTATTGACGAATAGCCGTAGATGAGACAATTTTTTAATAAAACCTAAAAGTTGAAGGTAAAAAGTGATTTTCGATTTTGTGCTTTTCTGTTTCATGCTCATTTGTAGCATCAAATGCATTCAATATTACCCTTGTGCAAATGTTATTGCTGAATTATTTCCAACTATGGTTCAATTAAAAAGTCTGGTGAAATTTGTGATTCTGTTTGGTAACCGAAAAGTTGAAAGTGAAAAGTAATTTTTGATTTTGTGTTTTTCTGTTTCATGTTCATTTGTAGCATCAAATGCATTAGATATTATCCCTGTGCAAATGTCATTGCTGAATGATTTCTAACTATGGATTCAATTTGAAAGTCTGGTGAAATTTGTGATTCCATTTGGTAACGAGGCAGAAACGTTGCTAACGACATGACCCGTCTTCTCCAAGGTTTCCACACGCAAGGAAACAGGAATCCACTCTTCCTTGTGCTTTTCAAATTTAACATCCATAACCCCCATCTTCTTCGGACCTTCAATGTAGCACCCTGCCTCCCATGTCGATTCATTCAATGTTTCCTTAAAACTTTCCCTTTCATCCTTTTCTTCCACTTTTCCATCCACTCTTCTCAAATCCTGGGCATCGCTCATGAACCTATAATTGTAGCCACAAACATACAAAGGTTGGCCAAAAATTTCCTTAATCTCTTCCTCCTTGCTTAACTTTTCCCAAACAGAATCAAGTGCACTTTCTTTCTTCAAAATCTCAGCTTCGTGTTTTTCTTTATAAAAATGCTCAGCTAGCTTTTTCTGAAGCGTGTTCGCTGCAGCAGATTTGTCATTCTCCAACACGTCAACCGTAACTTTATCCAGGGCGAAATAGGCTGCAAAGATAACCAGCCAAACGAAACCACCTGTTGCCACGAAGACCCCACGAACTACTGTCCATAAACGCTTTCTCCACGATTTAAGATTGGAAGGAGAACTAGCAGACCCTCTCTGGTAGTATCTTAGCCTCAAAACCACCGGAATCGATTTGGAATGAGCTAAAAGGTCAACATTTTGGCACAAAACGTTTGCATTTTTGCTAACCGACCGATTTGTATCCAATGTACTTTGTACAAATCGCATCAAGATTCCGCTAAATGACCGGTTGCCTCTTGAAAAAAGCACGTCCTTTCCTCCTTTTATCATAAATGTCAATGGTCTCGAAAAATAGACACCGTTAAACATGTTTTAAAATGTTTTTATAAACGAAAACATTGAAAAATGTTTAAAATAAAATGAAATTTCGAAATGGCGTTGTTTATAAAAATTGTGATATTTTCGTCCTGTGGGTGGGGAGGGTAAACGGAAGATTTCGTACCTGGACTGCAGATATCCATTTTCAAAAAAGAAATTGCTTCTAAAATCATATTTTTTCATATACGAGATTTTTCAGATCAAAGCCTACACATTAAACAAAACAAGATAATATTAAAAAATTGACTGTGACCGCCAAATGTTCGCCAAATTCATAAACATTTGCAATTCGGCATTTTCTTTTCAAATTTCAATAAGAAGGTATTTTAGGGAATTTATTTTCGGCCACTATAGAATTTGCTTTTATTCGAGACTATATTCACGTGAGTTTTATATTAGCATACTATATCACCAACTTTGCCTAAAATGTCTAACCATCCCATAACTCCCATAAACCTGTGCGAATGAATCACCGCTGTCTGCACTACAAATTTGTACCCACTGACCTATATTAGATCCGGATCTATATTAGACCTCTAGTATAGGTCAGTGTTTGTGCCCAGCTCCTGCAGTTTCAAAGTGGCGAATAGTACCATTACATCACAGTTTTATTTACAATATTATGCATTCTTTCTTGCATTTGCCATCTCCCTTATCGTGTATAGATTCCTTCGCTTCATTTTCGTCTTTGCTGTTTTTCAACTCTTCTTTCGTTTTATTCGGTCGTCCAGTTTTCCTGTCCCCAACCGTCAGAGCGCCGGCCGCCACAGCCGCCGTGAACGGATTCATAACTGATAAGAAATTAGTTCCAAGCCGTCATCCAATAGTTACTCTACTATCTTGATTGGAAAGGGAATAATGATTATAAAAGCTAAAGATTATATATGGTAAATTATTGTTATTGCTCTGGGAAACATGCGGTTCAAAGACACACTCTAGGAAGTGAAAACTATTGGCTGATCCAATACGTTTTCCTTTGTAAAGAAAAAATATACCACGTCAACACAAGAACCCACGGAATATGTTAAAAAGCTAACGTCGAATTCAGTTGCAAATTTCTTTACCTTTGAAGTGAATATCTCAGCAATTGAGCGCCAAACCTTCCTCAGTTTCAATTAAATTCAAAAGTTTATATCTATATCATTCACGTTACTTTAACCGGCAAGAGAGAAGCTTATCATCGTGTACTCATGATTAGACACTACGGCAGGTTTTTAGGACTTTTTAATTATCCTACTTGTGATTGGCTAGTGGTTACACTTAGACACAGGTCCTGTCAAGTGATGCTTTCACGTCAGTTCTATAACTGAACGAAATGAAACTGTTCTTCCTGGAGAGAACCTACACTAACTTTCTTGTAGTCAGTTTAAAAGTCAAGGATCATCTCTTATTGATACAGTCTAACTCAACCATTCAAAGCTGTTCTTTCTGTAGAGGTCCAGCAAGTATTATCTCTTATTGATCCAGTATTGCTACAGGAAGAAACCTAGACTAAACTACCTTTATTTATACTGGATAGCTCCATCAGTTCTAAACTGTTCTTCCTAGAGGTCCAGTAAGGATTATCTCTTATTGATCCAGTATTACTACAGGAGGAAACCTAAACTAAACTAACTTTATTTATACTGGATAACTCTATCAGTTCTAAACTGTTATTCCTAGAGGTCAAGTAAGGATCATCTCTTATTGATTCAGTGTTACTACAGGAGGAAACCTAAACTCAACGAACTTTAGCGGTTTAGCCTTATCTATAGATGACTGGTCCAGCGGTATATGTTGCTTGCGAGATCAGTGATGCTCCATCCCAGTCTTCTCATTGTATTCAACCGAGCGAAGATGATCACAAAAACAAAAAAAAGTTGTGATAATTTACGAAAAGTATGAGACGAAAATTTTTTATAGAGACCGCTTTTATTTTGCCATATTAGAATGCTTCTTTGCCTCCGATCTGTACATCAACGCCAAGCGAAGAGCTTGAGTAATGTCTGTGTTATTTAAGAGCCAATTTGACTACGAACTCGAGGAAAAAAGCCGCGAACAACACGTGCAGCGAAGGGTTGGTCAAAAAGACAAGAGAGGCCAGAGGGCCATTAAAGATCAGGACTTGTTGGTCTTTGGGTATTCTTGTAACGTCTATTGTGATGATATTAAGGCGGTATATTTCGATGAGGGAAGGCATTTGATACCATGGATGGGAGATGAATCGCTTATGATCGATAGGTACAAACTAATTGTTTGAATTGAATACCATCACTTGTGGTGAATTAGTTATTATATATTGGTAGTGTACTTTATACTACAAATAAGCGTACTCTTGTTTGTTTAAGAATCAATGAAAAATAAGTGGATTTGTCAAATCCAATACTGTCTTTAGCTGTTGAAAGAGAAGCTTTGAAAAAAATGACTACTGTAGATCAAATTCCACACCAGATGGCAGATCTTATCATGCAATCATGGTGATCAAACACAAGATTTTAGAATTACGTATTTTCAATTGAGGGTGTGTGTGAAATACCAACTATTTTACTTATTTAAAAAAAATGTTCCAACTTCCCTGACAAAGACATTCCCTTGCAACATATAAAGATTTTGTCTTGTAACATACATTTCCTTCAAATTTCCATGTAGGAAAATTGTAGTTCATATTTTCGCTTTCCATATAAATACCTGATTTAACTATTACTAGATTTGATGGAAGACTTCTGTTGGAAGATATCTCACCCTTCATATCTAAAGGATCCTCAGATCAGAACTGGCAGCTATCTAAAGATGAACAGGCAATTGAGAGACTCTGTGATGAAGAAAGATACCGGGCATTAGAGAATGCCGAAGACTCGGATGATGGAGGCAAGTATCTTCTTTAACCGACAACTTTTCATATTTATGTGGTTCAGCACAATTATAGTTGCAAAATGCCTTGCCATTACTTTGTGTGCAAAATTTGACCTGCCTTTTTTCATCCCAGAGGAAGAAATGAAGAGGTTTAAAGCTGCAATTGCCTCAGAGAGTGGATCATACAGTGCTGTTGGAATGACATACAATGAGCAGAATACAGAACCTTATTACCAACAGTATAACTATGATTTACCACAAACATATGGCCAATATTATTCAACATATGCTGAAGAACAAGGAGTAACTGGTATGATTATGGAAAAATTTTAACTTTTTAGCACAGTTGATAAATGTTTTACATGATACTCTGTTGCATCAGCACAGCATCTTGTCTAAATAACCAAAAAATTGATGGAGACATTTAACAGGGTTTTGGGAAAAATATCTGGAAAAAATTTATATTTTGAAATGAATCAACACATATACAGTTTGATGTGTTATCGTTTTCATGCTAATAAATTTGCTTTTGACTAAATAGGACCAGTTCCATCGATACAGGAGCAGCCGTCCATAATGTCACTTCAACCACAGCAACAAATGCAGCAACCCCAATTACAACAACAACAATTCACAGAACACAATCCTGTCCAAGAAGTGGTAGAGGTGTTTGTTCCTCCGGCTGCCTTAGATATCCCAGCTGATATGGAAGTGGTGAGTCGACAGATAGACTGTACCATATTGTATATGATGCATTGTTTTGTTTGCCATGTTTTCTCTTTTGAAAAATAAGCAAATAGGTGGGCAAAGTGCAGTTACTGATGCTAGGAATCAAGTGGAGGCAGATTTATACAACAGAGGTACCAAGTTTTGGTATGGTAATACACATTCGTGTTGCACCTAGAAAGAAAGAAAAACGTCAGTTGGTAATTTAACATAGTTTACTGAAATATTTTCTATTTCAAATTTGCTGAAATCCTATTTCAAAGTAGACACTTTTAATTGCACATTACTTTTTAACTTTAAAAGGAAAAGGTTGTTGACCCGGCTTTTTTTTCATTCTAAAAACTTGATAACATTCAATATTACAATCACATCGACTAATTCCAAACAAACATTTTCTCTTTTTAAAGGCTGAGAAGGGCATTTTGTTGAAGAAAACTGAACGAAATTCGTTTTGTAGTTTGTCGTTCAAATACTAACCACTTGTTTGACAGGATTCTATCCAGCGCTTTTAACAGGACAGAGTTGAAAATTTTATCCTCGGGAGTTTTGAAGCAACATTCATTTTTTGCAGTCAATGTGAATGCACATGTAGTCCGGGAAGATTTAATTGAGCAGTTCTGCTCTTCTCTTTATGTTGTGTAATATAGTGTGTACACTGTTGTTTAATATAAACTGAAGTTTTCAGAGACATAGTTTAAAAATCCTTTTTGAAGGACGACTTTAGCGACCATGCTCATGAACTGTGGTTTTGTGACATTTTTTATTTGAACTTATTTTGAACGTAACGAGTTTTGGTATTTTATTAAATAAATACAAAAATCTTACTGTTTTGTTCCCTTAGTTGCATATGAGATAAACGTATAACCCTTTGTCTTGAGTATTTTTTGTGTATGACAATTTCAAAAGTTTTCTGACCGTGTAGTATAGAGGTTTAGTAAGTCTTTTGCAGGGCGAAATCGTAGTTGGATTGGCAAGTATCAACCTAAATACTGATAATTGTACGTTTAAATGCTCGTCTTTCAATACCAGTTTCAAACACTTTGTAAACAAATACTTATTATAATCTTGCTTTAGAATCGGAATATAACTTAAGTAGAACTGGCTTTTTCACGTGTGCTTTGAAATTGGCGCCAGAAATCGAAGCATATAAACGTACTTTGAGTTTCTGTTTCTCCCATTTCATGCTCTGCATTCTATTGCGAACCAATTGAACTTAGAAAGTTGTTTGTTTTCCCTATAGCCGGACACAGAGAAGTTGCATGTTATCATCGAGAAAACGGCGTTCTTTATAAAAGATCACGGTCCTCAAATGGAAATTGTTGTAAAGGCAAAGCAATCGGGGAATACACAGTTTGATTTTCTTCAATTTGATCATCGCCTCAATCCTTACTACAAGCTCATCCTGAAGGCCGTGCGTAGCGGAAACTACAAACCCGCGAAGCCTGCCACACCGCCCGCAGAAGAAGGTGATCACTCAGGCTCCGCGCCTAA